TTGTCAAAAATTTCAGCAGTAACGAGAGGGGTGCATTATTAGCCATAGCCCTACCCTCACTCCCTTCAAAAATGGGGCTATGACAATATGTGATGGCCAACATTAAATCAATATCTCAGTATTTGCGGAATTTTAGATACAGGGTTTTTCAAAAAGCTGTTTCCATTTCTGAAGAAAAACAATTTTTTGTGTGGTCTAATTTTTTCCTCGAATAATACCCTTTTGCGAGAACACCTCAATAGTTTTAGTGTGCTCGATCAAAGCTCCTCGGTTATTTGAAGGGGCTGCCATAGCATAGGAGCCCACGAATTATCCATGTGTTTTGGTACTGTATGTTGACTGTATGTCGTACGTTTAGTTCTAGGTCGAGAGATCCTAACTTTTAGATATCGTTTCCTTATAATTCTAGTTCAAACATATTTATAAACACTGTGTCCTGTACATATATTGGACCGTCAGCTCACGGGAAAGGAAGTATGTTAACAGAGGTTCATAATAATGTTCTTTCTACAAAACGATTCATTTGCCAAGCACGACTGTATTTCTACACTTTTCAAGTCTATCAGTTCTCTCTCCTTTCCCCTTGCCAGCTCCCGTCCCTCTCTGACAATTATTTGTTTTACACTCCTAGCTCTACCCTCACCTATTTATGCCAGGTTTATGACATAAGTGAGTCTGTCGCTAGGACAATAAATTACCAAAAACAAGTTATGTAACCCAACAAACTTGCAGATAAACGCGTAGACCTACCGTTACGCTGCCTCCTAGTCGCACGCAAATTACGCCGGTTTCTTCCACAAAATGATGTGGCCAAAGAAATAATCCTTTAATTAATGCTTTAGGAAGTTAACGCCGTGTTACTTACAGAACAGCCAAGACAGTATGGTCTACAAATACTGTACACTCATTAAGTGGATCGTGAACTGTATCACAAGTGCAATACACGCACTCCAAAAGGGGGACGGCGCGTGACGTCAAATTAAACTATATATTCTGCTATATATTGGCTAACAAAAAAAAAGCTCAAGTGTCAATAAATAATACATTTATATGCAACTCTAATATGTATGGGGAATCTTGAGTGGGAATATTCCACCAACACCGTTATTTCATAGCAGAATCGGCGACAACTTATTATTTATTAAAAAAGGGGCCCTTTTTACATGCACCGTCACATATCTGCGCCAATAAAACACTGCGTTGCATTATAATGTATTGCATACATGCACATAAGTGCAGTACTACGTGCATATCCATGCACTGTGCATCTCGTGACTAAAATTTTCTCACCACCGATGACTTTCCGGAGGTTGTAAGTTTTTAGAACTAATAAATAAGAGGGACGACCTAATCTGAAAGCACGATAAGATCTACAAGTATCTATGATAAAGGCAATGGGGCAACAAAGCGGTGTACACACCTTGTAATATGCAGCTCAAATATTAGTTTATTGGTACGGAGAGGGCATGTCTTGGTGGTCGTGGTGATATTTACCACACTAAAACATCTTACTTTTCTTTTTTTTTTTCGTCATTGAAACACTGGTAGAGGCTGATTAATATTGCTCGTGAGGGTAAAAATTTTAATTTGCACCTACAAGATAAGTTTATAGCTATGGATCAGTGCCTTTTCGACTGTTTTGGGTTTAGGATATCTTGGTTTAATAAAGTGGAAAGTAAAGGAAGTTCTTTTCATGTACAGTATGCCCAATGAAACTATCGGTCTACACAGACCGTTCCAACTCAGCATGGACTCTCGCCGAATGTGGTCAAATTAAGAGGTAATCACTCCTGATCCTAGCGTCGAGCAGAATACAGTAAAGCTGGTGATGATAAGAGTACATTCAAGGAGGCGTGTTAATCTGTCAATCTGATTGCATTCAGCGAGTCCTCGAGGAGGTGATCGATCTACGTAAACCGATGGTTTCATTGGGACTGAGCCCTGAAACAAAGTGCGTGATTTAAACTATACAAAGGTCCCATCCCCAGTGCAGCTACCGTTAAGCCGGAACAGTGTATAAATTATGGCTAACAAACTAGCAAAGCGCATAGTTAAAACTTAAAGGTATTTTATACACCTCTCAAAGAGTCCGAAAGACATATTTTCTATGTTTTTATATCCTTCAAAGATATATGTACTTATCTTGCCCAATTTAGACCTTAACACTATAAGATCGCATTCACAACGAGTTGAGCCAGGCTTTACAAATCCTGGAACTAAATATGGCGGACGCACATGTGTCGTCCCAATGGAGCCGAAATTTAATGTCTGTACCCCCACAGGGACGACGCATGGGGAGGCGTGTGAGAGGCGGAGAGACTATTAAAAGATTAGGGGGTTTTTCTTTCATGTACGTCCGCCATATTTAGTTCCAGGATTTGTAAAGCCATGGCTCAACTCGTTGTGAATGCGATCTAAAACTCCTCAAATAAAAACAATGGAAGTCGATATTTCGCTCTGTAATGTAAAGGAAAACATAACGATCTAAACGTTACGGGGAGCATTTAGAACTTATAAGTTAAAAGCATTTAACCATAAATGGTATAAGCTATCAGATCTACATGCAGAGATGGGTGGAGCTGGCAGGAAAATCGTGGCTCGCTATATATAGGATACCGGTACCTTCAAACTGTGGATCCTGCGCACCCGACACCTGTATTCTCTACCAGGGTCTCAGATTGTATACTTACCGGGTAAGTCCCGGTTGAGATACGAGAGAGAGGGGTATTTATCGTGTTACTCTACTGGTGTCAATCTAGATCACTAAGTCAATGATTATGAGTATATATATGTATATTCTTACCAGCGCGCACCCATAATAATAAAATATATTAAAGCACATGTGGATGGAGTAAAAAAAATAATAAATAACATCATTGTTCGTGGAATACCCCAATTATTATTCAGGTTCGAGACGTGGAGAATACAATTTCATATTTGTAAACAGTGAGATTTGTGGACAACGTGCAAGCTACATTGTATAGTGGGATAATATAACAGACATTTAAGCCCCCCACCCCCTTCCCCACCCACCCCCTTCCCCACCCGGTGCCTCTGTGACCACAGGGTCCGCCAGTTGTTTGTAACAAAATTATTTTGTCTTTTGTCTTTTAGATGCCCCTGATTTCAGAGGGTACATGTACTTAATTTAAATCTTTTATTCTGACACACAATTCATGCATTCTTACCTTAAATTGCCTCAAGGACGGTACAATCACCTTGGAAGCCCTACAGGCAAGTGAAAAACCTCTTTTATTACAATGCGTAGCTGCTTGTCGCACTGAAATTTCGTCTCAAAGGAATCAATGTGCTCTGTAGGGCCAATATATCCAGTATTCTATATATTATAGGCTATACTGTATGAGGTGGTATGCGGTATCAAATGGCGGTATCAAATGCATTCGGCGTTATGTAAGCAGACGATATAAGTGGCTTGACCATCAGTTCGGCAGGTCTCACATAGTTTGCGTAACAGCTTTTCACTCCCATTAACCAAATGCATCCCATTGACCAATGTAAACACCGTAATTCAGGTGGAGGGGAGGAGTTGATTACGTCATAAGATCCGCTGTTGTTATCACCTGGGCTTTGTTCTACCACATAATATCATACCTTTCGCACATACGTCTTTTGATTCGAAATATTAAGGCATATTACAACACAGGAACAATCAGGCTATCCTTGAATACCACGTGACGCGGTCTTCCGTCGCCCGCAGACGTCACTTCTACTGTCTAGTTTTGCCTGGGCGCTTTTAGTTTCATGTTGTTTCACAGGTCCTAACGCCTATTATAAACAAAGCAACTGAGAGTACATCCAAATTTGTTCAAATATAAAACGCCTTTTGTAACATATTCGGTGCACCGACAACATTTGAATGTTTCATTTTAGCGTTAAAATGCGGCCTTTCACTACAAGGACGCCACGGGAAAACCCCCTACCACTTTCTCGCTAGACCGCAATGAAAAACGTCAAAAACGTCATCTTTTATCATCTACGGAGTACGGAGTAATTGATGTTCTATTTTCGTTCGTTTGAATCGGAAAAAGTCAATTACTGGTCACTGACGAACTTAATTTTCCCTACAGGAATCGAGTTGACTTGTCAGTGATTCCACACTGCTGCCATGGCCAGATATGTAGATATTAGATATAATATGAAATGTTCATATTGTTTCAGTGCTAAAATTGTTATCAATTTTTACTACCTTCACATAAATCGCATTTTGATTGACTTTTTTTATTAACATATTGAATACATGGGGAAAAATAAAAGCTATACAGTGTGTCATAAAAGGTTATTCTATACATTTATAAAAAGGTTTGAAAAAGATCTGAAAATACAAAAGTTTTTGGTTCATATACAAACCCATGTGCACTTTTTTTAAATATGAAAGTACCTCGGCATGTTACAAATGGGCTATACATTTTATGATATGGCATTCGCCTAACATAAAAGCAAAAAATCTAATTCACATTTTGCCTTATCATAACCGGAAATAACTTCGTGGGCTAATGAATCCCATTCCTGACGGAAAATATAATTATCGTCACGACTTAGGCGGTCACAGTGGGGAAGATGACTGAAAATATTAAGCTTAATTTTCAATGTCAAATTTGCGTTTTAAAGTTAGATCCGTGTGTTTAAACAAAGCTAATGTCAATTCCACGTCGTGAATTCACGCTTTACCCTTCTCATACAGGCAAATTCTACAACATATTCCTACCCCGTAGCGTCCTTTACAATTCCATGGCATGATTTATCAATTACCCTTATTTTTTGGTAGTTACTAAACAGAAGCACTTTGGTAAATAAATAAACACTATAGTACATATTGCTAGAGAGTTAAAATACTATGTATTATATACTGATATAAGCATTTTTAGAAAATAAATCAGCTTATGAAAAAAATAATATTTATATACTTTTTTCGAATTATAATTTTTTTATTTCCAACCCTAGTTCTGCTATTTTAAACAAATCTAGGCCTGTGCATCCTATCAGATACACTGAAGTGATAAAATTGTCATGGTCTGTATTTGATACACTATGTATGTTCTAGCTGACCCACTGAGGTCATCCACTACATCCCGTCTTCGTCCTCTGCCACACCCTCTAAAGCCGCCTACTCTAAAGGGTCNAGAGTAGCCGAGGCTACAATATGCTCCTGTTGACATGAAAAAAAAGTAGGATAACAATAATTACCCCGTCCTTAAAAGATCAAGAGAGAGAGGGGGAGAGAGAGAGAGAGAGAGAGATGAAAACCACGTTACCTTTTCGCGTAAGGTTCGTTCTTTGTCCAAAGCGACCAGCACGGCATCGTGCACCATGAAGTAGATGAGGTCTTCTTGGTCGTCTTCAGTTGGCATGCATTTCTCCAGCATTTCTCCCAGCTGAGCTATTAATAAGTAAGATATACCGAGTAAGTAACAACAAGATTTCTAATCATAAATTCAAGGAGAGAGAGAGAGAGAGAATGGTAAGAATGCAATGTATTCATTTCCTTTTTTCCGCCTTAATCGTCATATTTCATCCGAATTTCAGAATTGCGTGAATCAAATGCAAGTTTGGAAAATCAGGTCAGGTAGGAAATATATATGTCGGTCATTTAGAAATACAGGGGTAACCTACACCCAAAAACCCAGGAACAATGGTTTACTTTGCATGTGTATGTTAACAATAAATATGCAATGTTAATTTATTAAAGAAACACGGTTATGTCACCATAAAAGACACATAAAAAGATCCATAGGCAAAGTTCCGCGTGCGTGCGTTACTACAGTTACTATCAACAGATTGTGCTGATAATATAACTAAGTAAACTTAATCGTGTTCTTCTGAATCTGACAAATTTAAATCTTTATATTTAAATGCACTTGTTATATGTATGATGACGGACAATTTTAAAACTTCTGATATTAAAAAATTCTATCTCAGATAGGGTTTTGAGAGTCATTCATGCACTTGTTATATGGCGACGGGCATTTTAAAAAAAATCCGATATAATAAACTGTAAGATATCTGAAATGAAGTATCGGGTGTCATTACCTCTACAGTGAGCAAGGACAACTCGAACGCCGACTGCTTTGTATTCTGCTATAACCTAAAACACAGGAATAAAAATATTTTAAAACAAATTTGTGACGATCGAAGCACAAAAAATGTCCAACAGTACGATCTCAAAAACGCGTATTAAACACTTTCGCCATTTTTTTTTTTTTTTTTGAATTGATAAAAACGTATAACACTCAAAATATCTTCTTCACTTTCACGACTATACCGACCCAATATAAATCAGTAATTAAATAAAACAGTGTTGCTATTGTATAATAAGAAATTAAAGTCCAGCTATGGCTATGTTTCAGACCAATACTCAATGTATTTTAGATTACAGAGAAATATTTTTTTTTATAAAACTTGAACTGTTTAAGATTATTTTTTCTCTAAAACGCACAGGATTTTTGTTCTCTTGTAAAGCCGCCCTAGAAACCGGGGGTAATTTTGCCTCACCTGTTTCAGCACCTTCACCCCTACGGCGTCAATAAAGGTCATGGCGGAGCAGTCCACTATGATGTGGTGGATGTCAGGTTGTGGAAGTTCGTCCTCCAGAGACAACAGATGCTTGTCTGCTTGTTTGGACTCGTCCACTAGAGCTATGGACGGATGGTCGTCTGCTTCTTTTTCCGTCTGCTGAATAAAATACAATGATCTTTGTTATTTCATAACGCCACGCTGCAGGAATGTAATCTTTATTGTATTATTTTTACTTTATTTCATTTTCTGTATGTCTGTGTGTGCGCGTGTGTGTAAGCGTACTCGCGTGAATCCCATATTTGACTTCAGTACTTAATTAATTACCTTATAAACTACGTGTAAAAACAAGGTTTATTGTGGACCATACGTTTGCGTTTTCCTTTTTCTTCTCTCTTTTTTCTTTCTTTTTCTTTTGCTTTGCAAGAGCTTCTTGTCTCTCGTTTATCGCCATCCTTTCGGCCTTGAGGAGACCAGGGTCACATCCGGTGGTTGAGTAGAGCTTGTTACGGAAATGTTCAGCGTTCGCGTAATACAGGGAGGATTCAAAGTGAAAAATCTTGATTCCAGGAACCTCCTCGACCTAGACAAATAGAATTTAACAATATTGGTAAAATATTCATGACTTGAGAACACAGATGTTACATTTGGAAACCTACTGCCTACAAGACATAGGTTACTATTTTCTTGAAAACCGGATTCAAAATTCTTTGACAAAGTATCCTTAATATATCGTACTTACAATTAAATACTTAATATGCTACTAGCTAAAGTAACAGCTGCCTTTGTTTTTGTGGTAATCGTTGAGGTAAAATTTCGAGCAAGCTACGAAAAAAACCCAGCCACCGTATAATGAAAATAGACTTGGATGAAGATAAATCCGTGACGTACCACTTTGTAAACGTTTTTGTCTCTGTATATATCTGTGTGAGGCACTCTACCAAAGAGACAACTGTAGGGCCTGTAACAATAAATAAATAAATAAATAAATAAATAAATAAATAAATAAATAAGACTTTTTAAATGGTAAAATCGCAATAAAATCAATCGAACCTTAACATGCTGAAATCGAGCACATCACTTCCCATGCCCTGTGACAGTAATTTAGACTGAGTTATACTTTTAAAGTGATTAAAAATAATAATTAAAATTAATAATAAATTAATTATAAAAAATGATTAAAAATTAAAAATAACAGTCTGAACTATCCTCAGATTTGCAAACAAAAAAAATAATTTTCGTGCAACACTCCAGCAATGTGCATGTATAGCTACAAATATAATGAACGATGATCCATCTTCTGAAAAAAAAAACTAGCTGAGACCCCACTTACCATTGTGTCCTGAAGACAATAGTGATGAGAGAGAACCCCACCCCTACCAGAAGTCCCATATCCACATTGAGGAACACTACGGAGACGAATGTGACTATCCATATGGCCTTAAAATATAATAATAATAATAATAATAATAATAATAATAATAATAATAATAATAACATGAAAACGCCCAATCTTTCTATGGATATGTCCGTGTATGTATCTTATATAAAGTACGTCATTGTAAATAAGGCGTAGTGCTGTGCGTTTTGGGATGAATGTGTTAAGAGTGACAAAGTGTGTTAGGTGAGACTGCAGAGTGTTCTCCACATACTGAATCACTTAGAATTATAATCAATGTGAAAATTCTAAATGGGCAAGATATTGTATTGCTTGCAAATGCTCTAGCATGTATTGGGTGTGATATAAACGAGTATCAAGAAAGACCATGCACTTACAAAATCAAACTTTGAAATCCTCCACAGTCTCTTCAGGTCTTTGACCTGCAGGAACATGCCTTTCAGAGCCACGATGATGATAGAGGCAAGAACACACTGGAAATTAAAAATTATGCTGAATTTGATAACAGAAATATGAAATATATAATGATATAAAAAAGCTGTAGCTACCTACAGAGTTAAATATCCAAATATGTAACCTCAAAGCAGTAAAGAACATAATGATTGTAAGTTTAATAAGTTATATTACGACGCTCAAAAATATGCGCCGAGAATTCAGCTAGCAGTTGTAAGGTTTCTAGACAAAAGTTTGATTCTACTTTTTTATCTTTCTTACCCTTGGAAGAGTTCGAAATAACGGCCCTGCGGCAAGTATAACTATCAGAATAAAGCCACTGGAAACGATACTTGCAACCTGCAAATTAACTTAATATATAATAATGTAAATGTATGTTATTTATATCACTATTTTTCACCCCACCGTCTTGAAATGCATTGCAAATCCAATACATACTGTGCTGGCCCAATCCAAAAATTCTTACCAGTTACGAAACCCCAGCTACCATATAATGGAAATAGACTTGGGTGAAGATAATAAATATGGAAGCACTGCCAAACGACGCAAATTATGTATTCTATTTTGCAAAACGATGTTTAGATGACCCTTCATTTACTTTCTTTTGGGAATCCTAAATTACTCTACCTCCGTTTTTCCTCCGGTCGTCTCTTGCACCAGGCTTCTAGACATGGACGCGCAGCAAGAAAACGTAGTGAAGACAGAGCCTATGATGTTACACATACCATAGGCAATAAGCTCCTGGAATATAATAGTACTATAAAACAAACCTCTCCATATGGAAGCACCTGCTTAAGATCATAAGCTTCTATCATCAGTATGGGTACAAAATGCAGATAACACATGATTCAGCATACTCAAATGTGAGGTATCACTCCCAATTAAGCGTTTATTACATTAAACCAATACACATTTATTATCTGTAGTGGGCGAAATAATAAACTCTTACATATTTCTTAATGTTTTTCTGTTGTTTCCTTTTCCTGCGAAAGACATTTGAATTTGCCACTCCTTGAATAAGTAAAAAAGAACAAACTTTCAAAAGTGGAATGTGCCGCTTGAATTTTTTAAAATCCTTTTGACCCTTAAGGCCCAGCAGGCACAGAACTTTTTATAACGTTACCATAAAGTTACCCTAACGTTTGTTATATAAACGCTATGGTAACGATATAAGAACGTTCTGTGTTTAATTGGAAGAAAATCCCATCCCTACCTGGTCCGGGCTTATGACGTATCCCTGTTGTTTGGCCAGTATCTTTGCCATGGAGACGGATATGGTGAAGGCCACAATGGCCACTCCGAACGCATCGACGATTAGAGTCCCGAAATGTTCGGCAGGAGGTAGGGTCGGCACAGGGATGCTGGAATTAGAATTAAAATTCACCGTGTTAAAGCAGTGTAAGAAATATAAATCGTTTTTAAAAAGATTGAGAAATGGCAAATGTTGTGCAAATTACATTACATTATTTTACATCAGTAATCTAATTTATTACTGGACTTACTAGTACAAAAGTCTGACAAGGGGTCGAGACGCAACGCCGTCGACTAAACCAGATTGTAAACTTAGAAATAGTTCTAAAAGCATTTTCCTTTATTGTTTTTTTAATCTAGGAAATGACGTTGTCAAAAGACTCAGAAATTGTCCGTAAGTACTTACCCTGTTGGAATAGACCCGACCACCGTCAGATTAAACACCTCGTCCATTTTGGCAAAGTAGGATACCATAGTACCCAGAATGACCTAAAATGTAGAGGCTTCATTTCAAACAAACACAGTAAATGAGGATTTAGATGTTATAATGGTGGATCCATTAGGGGTACATTGGCATACATGCAACACTTTGTAACTTTATTTTTTATCATATAAAGCCGTTATCTTATTATTATGAAGTGCACGTGCATTTATGGGAACACAGCAGTAGGTGAGACATGGCTTGTCCAAAATGTCGGATTAAGATAACTTAAAGGCTTTCTCGTACATTAAATTTATTTATGAATCTCTCATTTTATCACATGTTCCTGTGGTTTTATGGGACTGACATCTATTAGACCTACACCCAAGGAACAAAGCTCACCATAAAACAGAGTCAAATGTCTATTTTCACCTTTTTAAACGAATTAGCAATCATAATATACCAGTAATTAACAAGCTCGGATCATCTTTCACGGATAGCTGCTTTTCATGAAGGCAAGCACTTACCACAATCAGCTCAATGGGCACCGGCATCTTCATCTTCGCCTTATACCTAGCGTTGATACACTCTTTTGTCAGCACCAACATTAGTATGCACACTACTGACATGATGAGAGCGGCCAAATTGGTTTGGGGAAGGGTGAGGAAGAACTGGATGTAAAACTAAAATGAAATGATAGATCTTACCACTATAATGATGTGAACTATCTGTAGCCTGAAATGACACGTGCGATGAACTTGGGTACTTGCTTTTCAGCTATACCGCAAAAATTTAAAGGTACATACGAACCGAGCATCGGTGGAGCGTGGATTCCCAGTAACACATGTAAACCACTTCTACTAGATTCTTATATGACTCAAATAAATTTGACATGCCAAGGGATAAACTGAATAGATCACTCGATCAGCCATAAAAGACCTTTAGACTGCTCCTTTCTTTAAATTTATGGTTGTAAATTTAACCTACTTCCGTGACCTACTTTCCTGCCCCATTGACATTACAGCTTAGAATACCAGCAGAAAAATCTGTTCAAACATCATTTTCGGGTAAAATTAAACAATGCCTTTTGGTAATTCTCTTAGTTATACTACTTGAAACTATATGCTGGCATTTGGTTGGTTTCTGTGAGAAAAAATTGACTTTGTACGTATCTTTAATAGTTTATTCTCAGTCCAGTGTCTGCTGATTAAAAATACTTCTCTAAAGTACTGAAGATCATATTAACAAGCACTGAAGAGTAACTCAATAATAAAAACCATTGCGACTTTAAATCAGATATCAACACTAGTTCAAGACGATCACTTACTTTGACGAGTTTAAACGGATTGGTGATTTTTGACGCCTTAATTCTGAGTCCAAAGACGTGTTTAATCTGTGAAGAAAACACGTGGCAGGCGGCTCCCGTGGTGAACCCACTGATGAGGGGGTCGGACAGGTAGTTGGTGATGAAACCAAGACGAAACGTGCCCTTCAATAACTAGAATAAACAAAGATAAAGATCGATGTGTTGCCCCTTGTAATTCCGCTTCATTATACTGTCCATAGAAATAGTATAGGGACAAAAATATTCTTTAAATTACTACAGATTTTACTTCATTTTAGTATATATCCTTTGCGTTTGATGCAAAATGATAACGTCAGAGAGAGAGAGAGAGAGAGAGAGAGAGAGAGGGGCGATGGGGGGGGGGGCTAAAATCTACCTGCCAAAATCCGACCAGCATGGTCAAAGCGGTGGCAACGCCTATCTTGAAGTCCACGCAGTCTTGGTTGGAGTTGGTATCGGCGTCACATATGATGGTAGGTACAGAAGTGGCATTGGCAACGCTTGAATCGTTGAAGACATCTGGGGACGCTGCGGGAGCGGTCCATGACACAGCTTGTCTGTCTACGACTGCCCCTACCATGAGGCTGACGACCGCCATGGTACCTTGATAAAGTACATGAAGTACCAAAGTTATTAGTTTGCCATATTTTGTACTGCAAGGTGTCGTTTCCTCTACATCAAAGCCTTACTTTTATGTATCTAATCGTTAACGTTAACCAAGTATTCACTCGTCTATTTCATTTTTCTATCAATTAGTCTATTTGTAAATCAATTTATTCATTTCATTCATTCTTTTATTCTAACTCAGTCATTCATTCTTTTCTCCCTTTATTCATACGTTTTCTCACTGACTCATTCAAACATTCATCCATCTTTTCTTTTATCCATTTGTTGGCTTTCTTTTCAAGCAGAAATTTAATTTTTATATTGAATAACATCTTACTACAACCTCGATCCTGCAGAGATGCTCTCGGATGTCTTAATTTTTTCTCACCTAACACAATGTCACACTCACCTATGGAAATGTGCTTGGACGTCCCAAAGAAGAAGTAAACGAGCGGAGGGAAGAATGACACGTACAGGCCGTGGATGGACGGGAGCCCTGCCAATAAAGCGTATGCCATACCTGGAAACAATTAGGTTGAATTTGAAATACTAAATTTTAACTTTTAATCTATCATTATTTATTTATTTATTTTAAATATTTTTGTCATGTGGAATTGGTGGTTGTTAGGTTGTTAAAGGCGTCCTATCTGGGGTTTTTGAACACACTGTTTGGACACATTCTCCGAGGGAGGTGTCCTGTGACTGAGGTTATTTTTATCCGCATATATACTAAAAGGTCAAGTAACATATAAAGGATGAAATCCTTTCTTTTCTTCTTATTCAACTATTTTTGTTTATGTCTTTTTTTTGTTTGTTTCTTTGTTTGTTGGTTTATTAAAAATAAGTGTATAAAATGGTAAGGACTTGTGACAACAGTGAGGTATTAAACACACAGTACTGTGCACCGCCAGCCTTCGTATATGTATTCGCTTGACCTATAATTTCAAAACAGCCAGGGACTCATCCAGACACCTAACCTATGGGGGCTTCGTCGAAATAGCTGTATAAAACGCCACGCTGGGTCGATTGAACTCCTGTGATCGACAGAAACGGTCTACTGGGATCGCACAAAGAACCCAGGCTTCGTGAAATAGTTAAAAAGAATGTCATTCCAGTACCTCTTTTAGATCGGGTTGCACTATAACAGACGGGGTGGATTTCATTTTAGCAGACAGTCATAGGCCTTCCGAGCTTCGTGTGGCTGTCTGCCACACGTCACATTTCTGTATGCTTATATAGTGCACAAGAGATATTGATTTACGCGATTTAGTCAAAACTTAAAATACAAAGTTCAAAATAATTGAATTTGAATTGTAACCACACTACTGATAGTTCAGTGATACATGATACCTCAGTAAACAGTATGGTTTAATAGCCAACCCTGGAGGGAGGGGCCTTTTTCCTGAGGAGGGGGGGGGNGGGAGATTGACTTTTTTTCTTCTTGTTAAATTTTGTATTAATTCTAAAAGGCATTAAATGCTACACTTATAAGGGAGATAAAATTTTTCGATATTCCTGTTTTTTTTTTATTATTATTTTTATTTTATCAATGACTTACCCTGTGGAAGGTGCATCACTCCCACCGTCAACCCAGACACCAGATCACCAACGAACCACTGGGGGAATTTATACTGCCTCATTATGGACACGAAGGGGAAGAGTCGGAGCAGAAACCCCTGGATACAGTCACGTGAGCATGCACAACGATTACGTAATTTACGCCGCACGTGGTGCGCATGCTCTTTGGGAGTCTTAGACTTCCTCCGCTGGGAAAACCCATGGTGTTTGTCGAAGTGTTCTTGGGTAAAAACTCGGCGCTTAACAGTCACTGGTTCATCTTCTCTCTCGAGTTGAACGCCATAGAGAGACGACGTTCTCTCTAGTTCTGAGGGTTGCTCTGTCGATCTCGCCCCTCTATTTCCGTTTTCCAAAGATGTATTCGCCAGAGGTTCGCGTTCATCTTTGCCGTTTTGGTCCATTTTTGAATGCAGTACCTGTGGCACCAGTACCCACCGCACCTACAACATGAAAGTTACAGTGAACACGAGGTCGTGTTTGGGTTGATGCATAAATGGTTTTTAGGCTTAAATTGCCCCAGATGGGTGGTTTGGGTAAACCCCACTCTCTAGGATAGCAAGACCTCTGGATCCTGCTTCACCAAACAGTTTTGTTTGGTTTTTTTTTTTGTTTTTGTTTTTGGTTTTCTTTTACCTTGGCTAGGATCATAACACTCTTAATTAGCCAACTAAATATAAACAGTCAACTTTGAGATGACGGCCTATTGACCAACAATGGTAATAAATATTATTATGGAACTGGCATAGAATAAGATGTTATATTCGTCCCCATTGTTACGTGACGTTGCGGCCAACCATTCTTCGTGGACACTTAACGTGGACGGATAGTTGGGCTATCACATCATTAAATTGTGATTTCAATAAAATATAAAGTAATTTTCCATTTGCTTAACATATATCCTTGGAATAATCACACCATATTAAATAATTTAATAAAATAAATATCAGATTTGACTTCCAGACAATATGGTGTTTAGCTGACCTGAAAAAAGTGATATCGACCTCAGTTGACCTCAGAAGAGTGGTATCGACCGAGGTGGGAAAACACTATATTGATCGACAGCCAAATTCGATAATTGTAGGCCTATAATAAAAACCTTTATACTCAGATGAACTCTAGTCGCCGCCTTTATAAGTAGGCCTAGCAACATTTTGTATGGCAAGACATAACAAGTCAGTGAATGAAAAAAATATAGAATAAAAATCCAGTAGCTATATAACTGTATGTGTAACACGTTTTTGTAATAATACCTAATTAACCTTACATATAGCTGGAGAAGGGTCTAAGTTCGACTTGACTCTTGAAGCCACGAGCCGTGTAAGCCTATTACTCAAGGGTTACATATATATTTTTGTACATCTAAACAGTAAGTTAGCTATAGGTAATACGTGCGTTAAACTATTAACCTACAAACATAACATTCTAAGAGTATTATTATGCCCACTGCACACCATAAAAATGTTTCTACGTGGTTACATTAGTATCATAATTTTACTTTAATATCTTGGTATTTTTGACCTTCATGGTAATATTAAACGATATCACTTGATATCATGCTACTCAAGGCGAAAAGGACTATATAATAAACATGATTCTAATAATTTATCTTATTCTGATGCCTAGATATCCATACCGGATACGTAGTCCCATTCGAGTTTATACGTCATGATATCCAAAGCGGATACGTGACATATTCGTAAATGTTGATATAGTCGCAGCATGATATCCATAACCAGGCCCGTAGCCAGGGGGGTTCGGGGGGTTCGAAAGAACCGCCCCTTTTGCTGGGAAAAGGTCCACTCTGGGTAAAATTTGACCTAGGTACATAAAGTTTTTATGGAAAAAGGTCCACTTTTTCAGAAAAAGAACCCCCCTTTTGAAATTGCTGGCTACGGGCCTGATAACTGATATCATACCATGTTCGAGCTGTTGTACTACATCATGATATCCATAGTGGATAGTTGATGTCCTTCATACGAGCTGTTATACCTGTACTACATCATGATATCCATAGTGGATAGTTGATGTCCTTCATACGAGCTGTTATACCTGTACTACATCATGATATCCATAGTGGATAGTTGATGTCCTTCATACGAGCTGTTATACCTGTACTACATCATGATATCCATAGTGGATAGTTGGTGTCTGCATTCATGCGAGCTGCTACTATACTACATCATTGCAATTAGTGCCATGCATCTTACATGGCATCCATATCGAATACATTGTTATTGCAATGACTGCACTTGCGTGCCAATTTGTACGCGATAGGGCTTTTCAACTACCATAATAGAAACACAGGTGTGCCTGCTAAAAGACTTGCTCAAATAAACGAACCAAGGTGGTATAAAGCTGTGCAAAGCCGGTATACTCCTGTTAAAAAACCAAGCTTTGTACTCAAGCCCGGTTTTTGATCGGTGTCAGCGGGTATAGCTGTGACTCTCCCGATTAAAAATAACTCGGGTGAAAGCAAATTTGAAATAGGGAAGTACAAACACTTTGCTAACCTACCACACAGATTAATGGGAATATAAACAGCGACGAGCTTGAAGTAACAAGCAAGTGATTAACTTAACACACTTATTATACATACGGCTTATGCTCCCAGGTAAAACTCACGCTTCGGGCACTTTAAAGTTAACGTCCGTCCAGGGATGAATTTTCCTATTTGATCTCAGGGATCAGAATGTCGCTCTTACAAAACTTGTCAAAGCCTAGGTGACATCCGATGCGACCATATATAAAAGGCCAGTAAAAATAATACGCGAAAGAATCAGACCTTGATAGGCGGTGCTCCCACATCGCTCTTAAATTCACCGTGGGGGTCAATGGGCACCAAATATGTTCCTTTAATATTTTTGTAAATGTGCAACCTCAATATCGGGTTTATATTTAGCCCTCGCCATTATGTGCGTCGCATGGGTGTGTTTACTGTGTTACTTTCTCCTTCACTGTTATGGATGTAGGGTGTACCGGTATCTAGGTAAGCGTCACGTGCGCCTAATTAATCCATTTAAACAATTAATGTTAAAATAATGAATGAGGTTTTAGTGATTGCAAATGTGGAATGTTTTAGAACTAAGTGACAGGTGGTCACTCGTTTCATGGTTTTATCAAAAATCACAAGTTTTCTCGGCATATTGCTGAGTTATAAACATGCTTATACCCCCATCCCTCAACATGTTAGGTAGAAGCCCTCAAACTTACCTCAGATATAACTACGTCCTCCTGAAGTATGTGCCAACGCCTTGTGTTTTACGCGTATGGTTTTATTCCTCCTTTTTGTCTTTAACTTGGGCCAGGGATCTGCGGCAATTAAATTATATCGGTCTAAATTGTTTGTTGAGAATGATTAAATTGGACGCATGTGTATGTGCAGTATACACGAGCATGTATGTGCTCGTGCAAGTGCGTGCATACTACGCGTTGTAGAAAGGGGGGAGCATGTTTACAACTTAAGTAATAAGTCCCGACAGAAATACTGGGACACTTGATTACCATATTAAAGACAAACGCTAAAATAACGCCCTTGACATTTACCTTATGGATATTACAACGTTGCTACGCCAGATATTTTTTTCTTATTTTCTTTTATCGACACGCATCCTGGCCCATCACGTTTAACCAGAGTCAGGTGAAAAATATTCACATCAAGGTGACTCACTTAAATAAACAAGGATTACAATATCTGTAAACATTTCTTACCTGTCTTGACAGAAATGGTCTTCAATTAGGACCAATGGTCACTGAGGGACAAGGGCAGAATCGGGTCGCGTTCGTGTGCAGCACCCTGAAAAGATCTGCTCTGCCGTGTGCTTCTGAATTACTGTAACCTTGAAGACATCAATTGCCTTGACGCCTGGAGGGGGGTGGCCTCGTTCCAAACACGTTTTACCCTTAGTTTTGTGAACACCATGCGTTGCTTGTTTCGCTGTGCTTGTGTGTGTGCTTGCAAATTTATGCAAATGAGCATGCGTGTGTGCGTGTGTTCAATATTGTGCAGGGTTGTGGGCAAAAAAGAAACTTTTAAACATGTATGCTTAACTTCACTCCTTAATACAAAGGATTTGTCGTTGGAGTAAACAAGACATTAAATAAGAAATTATGTCTTTTTCATGGAAAGCGCAACCTCCTTCCAGGTTAAATCGATAGCACAATCGCGCGCGTACTTCATTAAAATGCCAACTGAATTTTTTTAGGGTTGTTAGAACTTAAAATAAATTCCTTGCCCGTTACAGGTTATCTAACACACTTCTTATTACCTCCAACAACAGAGGAGGACACATTTTAGTTACCGTTTGTCTGTGGAGACCCTTACGCAAAAAGTAATGAACGGATTTTGATGAAATTTACAGGATGGGTCAATGGCATAAGGAGGAAATGATAAGATTTTGATGTTGATCCATTCATTAATTAAAACGTTAATAATTAAATTTACAGAAATTTACAGGATAGGTAAAAAGTGGACAAAAAAATAAAGAAACGATAAGATTTAAGTACTGCTCCATTAATTAATTAATTAATTTTTCATGATAGGTCACAAATGTACCAACGATGAAATTATTAGATTTTGGTGATGAATTACTAAAGTGATTAAGTAATGGTTTATTTTTATTTATTTACCTTGGAGTAGTTTGCGCTCTCTGAACGCTTTTCTAGTTATACAATGCTTAATGAGATGCCATTAAAGCAAGAAGAAATATCCAAGGGAGAGGGGGGAGCGAGGGCATCAGTGGAGTCGGGTTAGGCACCTAGCAATGGTCTAATAATTAGACTATATAAATGCGTATTTCACATGACGCATTTGGTAATTTTTTTCAAGCACAGAATACACTTAACCTGCAGTTATTAACCTTACGTTGGAGGCCTTGACAGTGAATGACCAAGACGACCAAGAACTGACCTAGAGCAGATTTCGATCTAGACAGCACGTCCCACTTGAATTGACGCGTTCGGCAGATGGATTTCCAGAAAACACTTCCATTTACAAAATATCTACTAGTTGAATTTCCTAAAACTCGTTGAACCGCTTTTCCCAAAAGTAATAAATGCCATGCTTAACATGTTTTAGCTTCATTTCCTTCCTTATCAAGGCCCATCCTTAGGACAACAACCAATAATAATAATAATAGCGTAACACAACAGAAAACTTAATTTTTGCCCTTCAATTGTAAGATTTGCAAAAAAAAAGATAAGAAACACAATATTTCTTTCATCAAAACAGGTATTGCCTTTGGGTGGGTTTTTCTTTCCAATTTAAGCATGAAAAGAATTCATGTACAATATATATGATATTGCGCGTGGCATTTAAAGAGTTGTCCGCAATTTAGACTGCAGATAATAGATTAACTTTGAAAGAAACGGTGCATTACAAAAAAGTATCCAATTTATCACTCCAATTTATCCAATATATTTGTACCAATAGGAGTTTTCTATGGCTAAGTCAACTGATTAAAGTATTGTGCGCTATGGAGATGACCACTGTGGTCTTTAACATTGTGCTGAAGGGACGTTTTTAGTCTTTTAAGAATTTTTTTTAATTTCGTCAAAACAAAGGAACAAATTTGATAGCCTATTAACCCCCCCCCCCTCCCATTAACAACTAAACACAACAGCCCGTGATAAGCATTTTTATTATATACATTTTCAAGTAGAGAAAAAATTACCATAGACTTGAGTCGAACCACCCCGACCCCAAACGTTCACAATTTGTTTCTTTTTCAAAAACTACCAAAAAGGGCGTTTAACACAATTGTGGTAAATTATGGAGAGACACTCCGAGCATCAGAGATCAATGACAACCCACTTCTCTTCTACCTACATGCCTCTGCCGTTTTGGAAGCTATAAAGGCTTGTCCAGAATAGAGCGTGTCGAGATTCTAGAATCCTTCTAGTAAAGTCAGTGCATTGTCCTCAGATCATTCAGGTCACTTGGGGCATTACTTGTAAAGTGTCTTACTTTTTTTATTTATTTATTTATTTATTTTTGTTAATTTTTCAAATTTCAAACACATTTCTAAGATGGCGATTTTATTTGCTTTGGCTTCAAAATAATCATTACAAATATGCCAGGTAAAAATTGTGTATATTTTCTTCATAACTGAGATTTTATAGTGACGACCTTTTAATAACAAATTGTAGAATGATTTTATTGTTATAAATTATAACAAGGCTAAAATGATCGTTTTTACATCATCTTGGATACAGTTCACAATGTTTCCTGTTGTTACACTGTAATCACAACTTGCTTATGGCAGAGCAAGAAACAATAGAACACTTAGCCTTTTTCTTCTTAATTTAAATAAGATTTGCACTTGGCCATCCAACCAATAGTTAAATACATGATGCCACAAAAAGAAATCTGTTAAATAACAATTAATAATGTCTCTCACAAAAAAAGAGAATGTTTATTTTGGGCATACCACATGACATAAAACCACTTGAGATAAAGAAGTTCAGTTGGAGGTTCACGGAGATCTCGTGAAATCGCGTCGGAATCTTTACATGAAACAAACGCCAGTAAAAAAATGTCGACCTAATTTTTTGGCTTTGTTTTTCATTCGCAAGTTGCGGCAAGCAGTAGCTGTCTCCATTAATTATCCAGCTTCATGTCTTTGACGTCTTTTGCCACTTTTTCTGTCGCCTTTTTCTGACTGTCTTTCTGCTTCTTCTGTTTCTTGGTTTCTTGTTCCTCGATAGGGGCTGGCTTCACAAACGGGAGCTTCTCCTTGTACGCTGGAATAATGAGGTTTGGATAAGAATACAAGCAAATCTTTTCTCGTATTTCATTTGCTAAATGGTAAACAAAACACACACAATGGCAAAATTAACCCCGTTTTGAGGTGTTTTCATTTGGAATACATTATTTTAATGTATCTGGACCAATTAACCTGGATCTACCGGCGCCTTGGCCCTACCTTAAACAGAATGCTGATCTCAACATCATAAATTATGTAAGATACCGGTATCTAGGCCCATTAGTTTGTCCAGAATACATAAAGGGTGGATAATATCAACAGCACACAAAAGAGGTTCAAGATGGGTAACTATGTACCTGAATCTGATTACTTAAGAGTCATGCATCAACTCTAAGGTACTAGTTTTTGATATTTCATTTGCAGGAGACGGAAACACAGGCACAAACATCTTGAATTATTTTAAAACTATAGGAATGTTTTGAAAGGATCAGAAAGTAAGTTTTAATCTCAGTGTATAATACTGTGACTAAGGGACCATTCCCACAGATATTTGGATTGATCTATCTCCCTGGGGAGTCTCACCAAATTGCTATCAACTTAACCGGCTTTAATGTCTGTCAAGCCTAGTAAAGCTGTTAGGGGGTAATCATTTTTACCCTAGCTGATTCGGTAGGCGTGACATACATTTAGGCCAGTTAAGTTGATAGCAATTTAGTGAGACTCCCCCAGTGAGTTGGACCGATCCAGATGGATCGATCTAGGCATGGTAATCCAGTCTAAAGAGAACAATTACCTTCTGGCATGTATGGCTTCAGAACCTCGGGAACAATGATCCCGTCCTCGGTCTGGTAGTTCTCCAAGATGGCGCAGATCACTCTGGTCGTGGCACACATGGTGGCGTTCAACATGTGCACGTACTCTGTCTGGAACGACGAAATAACACAATGCTCTTAGTTATGGCGATCACCATTTAAGCTCATTACAGAATAATGACACAGTATGTAATACAACATTTAATTTTTGGTGCCCTTCATTTAGAAGAAAAATCAAATGAATATTCACAAATTTTCATAGGTTTATGATATATTCTATATGGTTTGTTAATAAAATTACATTCTTAATAAGATAACAAAATTGGAGACCAGAGACAGGGAGAGTGAATATTAAAAGGAGAAAAGCCTTTTGATGCAACTTTGCCTTCTTCTTCTATGAACTAGATGAGAGTAAGTGATAAAAGGAGGCAACACTTCCATTGAATTTTCAATCTGTTTTTATCATTTCATACAAAACCAAGAAAATTCACTAACTCTCTTTCACAGTCCACAAAAGTAAGAGGAAAAAAACACCAAAACAAGTAAGCATCCCATCTCTTTAATATATTCAAAATTGAGAGGAGAGTACTCTTCTAAATACTGTAACAGAAAATTTGGAGGAAAAATGGTGAAAAAAAGTCAAAACAAGCCTTACCCCTGTTCCCATTTTCTTGGTCTCTCCGTAGCGCACACGCAGCCGCCGCGCCTGATAGTCAGTGCAGTTAGAACAGGACACCAGTTCTCTGAACTTAGCAGAGCCAGGAAACCAGGCCTCCAGGTCCAGCTTCTTGGAGGCAGCATTGTTCAGCTCTCCTGAGACATAAATATCCATCATGATAGAATTAACATTCAATCATGTAGAAAGCAAAATGAATTAATAAATATAAAAAAGTAATAATTTATCAATTAATGTAAGTATTAAAAATCAAACAATGTGATTTTGTCATCTTTGTATTAACATATGTCTGATATAAAAATTAACTGTGCAATTTTGATAATCTACATAAAAATGGTCGATGAGGTGGATGGTAAAAGAGACAGACAGGCAGATGCAAAGATGGACAGTAACACTGCTAGTCAAATCAATAACTGAGGACACAAATGTTATGAAGAGATCCAATAATTTTAAAGGACTCACAACAACAACAAAAAAAAAAACATTCTGGTCTGGCACAACCCTCCACAGATTTCTCACCTACCACAATCTGACCACATTTCTCACCTGTGACAATGTTGACCACTCTGTATGGAATGCCCAGAGCTTGAGTATAGGCCTCTGCATTGCCTATCATCTCATCAAACATCTGCCATGATAACCCATCATGGGGAGAGGTGATACAAAACTGTTCAATCTGGAAAGACAACAGGCTTTTATTATTTATCATAATCTGATTTAAACTAATAAGACACATCTGGATGTAGGTATATGTATAGCTATAAGACAGCATTGGCTGTTTATTGTTTTGAAAAACTGACAATCGAGAGAAATGATACAGAGGGAGTTAAGGTGGATAAATAGTTTCGTTCTGTAAAGCCACAGGGATTTTGATCCACACAGGCTAGATAATTCATATAAATCAACAGAAAATGTTTAGTAATTTTGATCTTATACTCAATTTTAGAGAAACAGTAGAATTAGCATAAAAATAATAAAAAAATGACATATTTAAAAAAAAAGGTACTATTTACAAGACACATATGGACAAGATATCACAGACATTTCAAGCAGACGTACAACTTTCAGATCAAATCTCGTTTGCTTTCTTCTCTTGTTTTCCAACACCCAAAATCCATTTGAGGCTCACCTTTTCAAACTGATGTACCCTGAAGATCCCCCTGGTGTCGCGGCCGTGAGAGCCCGCCTCTTGTCTGAAGCACGTGGAGATTCCAGCGTAGCGTATTGGCAGGGAAGTCGTGGGGATCCACTCGTCCCTGTGGAATGCTGCAATGGGCTGCTCTGAGGTTGCTATTAGATACTTTTCTTCGTAGTCCTCTTTTTCTGTTGCTCCCTTACCTATAACCTGATAGTGAGAAAAGAGTGGTTTTGATTTTATTAAAGAGTGGTTTACTGTGATCATTTCTTCAAAACAAAAAATGAAACATTTCATTTCCACTCAATTACATGTCTGTCAAGTCATACTAGACTGTTAGACTAAGTGTAACAAGTGAACAGCAAAACTGGTACATCTAATTTAAATATTTTTTTACAAGTAGAATTTCAGACCAATTTTGTCATATAAGATATCATCCTTAGCAAGAAACATTATTTCACTTTACAGATAAATTAATTTTCCAACAAAGAAAATCCCCCCTCTGTGACTTTCTTAACCCTCACCTTGTACAGCTCCTCATCAAACTGGCTAAGCTGTGCCACCTCCTGCATCACCTCCTTCCTCATGAAGAACGGTGTGTACAGTGCTGTGAACCCTTTTTCCTGGAGCATTCTCAATGCAAGCTGGATCAGGGCCTGCTCTAGGAAGACTACTGGGCCCTAGAATGGATAGCAAAAGTATAAGAAAACTGTGCTGTATCAGGGCCTGCTTTAAGAAGACTACTGTACCCTAGTGTGGATAGCAAATGTATAAGAAAACTGTGCTGTATCAGGGCTCTAGAAAAACGTTTGGACACTGGTATCAGGTATGGATAGCAAATATGCTATTAGGCCCAGACAAAATGACACATAAAATCACAGATAAAATGTTCAAATAAAACAGCCCTTCTTTTGTGTCTCCTTTACATGCGGACTTAAAGACTTTATCATAAAAGCTTTGGAAGCACGAACACCTATTCTCTGCCACCCCCCTACCCCAAAAAAATGTTTATACATATATAAAATAAACAACAATAATAATAACAACAAAATCAATTGACCCTTGTAAAGTTTTTGTACACTATTTCTCAAAGAAGAATAGCATCTCATTTTAAACACCACAACACCCTTCCCTTAAAGCCATCCATTTCAAATCTAGTACACAACCTACCTTAATAAAATAACCCCTCCCTCCAGAAACAACTGCTCCCTTCTCTCCTTCATAACCATCTATCATAACAATGAGATCCACATGGGAGTATTTTTTCTTTGTCTCCACGTCTCCCCACGTCCTTTCAATACCATTCTCCTCCTGAAAAAAAAAATAATTTACATCAATTTGATATTGAATCATAACAAAATTGTCATACATGCTGAAGTTGTAAAGACCAAACAATGTCTTTTAAATGTTCACAATGGTCATTAAAATTTTAAAATGTTATAAATCGTCATCAGTGACCAATCAAAATCCTGTGGGGAAAGCATGTCACTATATAAAAATATATAATAACTGTGAGGCTACAGACAGTCTGTGGGCCATTCTTTACAAACCCTGCATCCATTATTCAAAAAACCAACATCTGAGATATGAAGTGTATTTCCTTCCCCTACCTCATCATTGCTAACAATGCACGATTCATGGCACATGTTTCCTATTTCCTTCAGCGACTCATCCCTCGTCTGTTCCACAGTGACGCGTCTCTGGTCACATTGAGCCATCTTCTCATCAAGAACTGCTCGAATGCGCTTGATCTGGGTCACTGTCAGTTCCTAAAAATAAAAATATAGATATATGAAGTATTGAGCTGTGATTATGAAATCAACTGGGTTCTGTGGGATTAACACCAGGGTTTGTTTCACATAACATTCATAGTTTGAACTTATCAACTTGATCCAAGATATACATTTATATGTAGTAGTCTGGTGAAGATATAACAAGCCATTGCCATTGTTTAAGGCAAAAACTTACATTTTTGCATTTAACAACGTAAGTATCCTATTTGGGATTTCCATGCCCAATTGAGTTTTAAGATCTGAACTGGGAAGGTAAGGCGCTATGCAGGATCAGAAAAGCATGATTTAGGGACATTTTCAAACACATTTTAAAACAAAAGGAAACCAAATCTCTGGTTTGAAAGTTTAGACCAAGTTTTTTGTTTGTTAGTTTGCTTTTTTAACCAGCCCCTGGTAACCCAAAGGATTAGAAGTCTAAAACACCTCTGGTTTAGACTGGATTTTAGTATAATACTACCTTGAGCTGCTCTGCAGTCATATTCTCCAAACCGTCTAGGATTGCCTGAGGCACTGTCTCATCATCTCCAACAGCTTCTTTTTTCTGAAAACAAACAAGTGATGAAAAGTTTATGCAGATTATAAGCCATCTAAATCAGTTGAAATAATAAATTTAATTACTTAAATTTTTTTTGTTTGTTTGTTTTTAAATTATATTTCTTTACATGACCACCATGACATCATGACTTGTGTGACCCATCAGTGACCAGCCAAAGTCCAGAGTTGTAATTTACTTGTAAATAATATATAATAACTTTGTAAATAACACTGAATTAACAAATGTAATCTCATCAGTGATAAGGATCAAACTACTGGACAATTACAAAGGAGAGGAAAATTGACATTGATTTTTTAATAAGTAAACTGTTTGCCTTGAGGTCAGGTCCAGCTTCCAATTCAAATGTTATCAGTTTAATATTGTATCTGATCATATGACAGGATAAGGATAAACAAACATTTTCTATGTCAAGTGATATACCATACCTTCATCTTCTCTCCTATTACTTTACTGCATAGGTTCTTCAATTTATTCCAGTTATCTGCTTGGTACCGTACTAAAATAAATAAATATATGAAAAAATTTAAGAAAACAAATTTACTGCAAATGATATCATGAGACAAATTCTACTTACAATACTACACAAAATTACAATATACACATGTGGGGGGTACAAACATCAGACTAGAAATTACATTACCCATTTTGATCCGACTCAATATTCAAAATGTACAAAAAAAATCAAATCTGTTGGGGTGCATAAAGAGTTCAGTGAACCCTCTTTTTTTTTTTTTTTTTACAAACTTTCTTTTAAAACGCATCAAGTCCAGCTCCCTGCATAGACAACGGATTTATCAAAACAAAGATGAAAATTAATGATCCCCTCATTAAATTTGTCTTGGCTTCAATATCTTTTAATCTATTGATTTCTCAACTAAATGGCCATTTTCAAAACGTGTATGACATATATCACAAGGAAATACCTAGCTGCTACCACAACATTTCACCGTCAAAACTGTAAAGGAATTTTTAGTGCCATTCCGATAATACCATGAGCTGGCAAGGAAGACCATGATGGATCTGATTCCTTTAAAAACCGAAGGCAATCCAATTAGTAAAAGCTACTTCACTAACCCCAGTAAATATTCGAGAGTCGCTTGTCTGCTGTCTGTCTACATATGCGTGTATTCGTAGATACAATTCTAATAAGTAATTACAAGTTGTCGACGACAGTCGAGAGGCTACACCAGTAAACATACATGTGTACATCACTTACGTTGTCTCCATTCTGTGTCTGCCTCAACAACTTTATCAACTAAAGTCACATCTTTAAATCTTTTGGCCTGATTTTCCCTGATCTTGTCTGGATATCCGCCCTTGTCGGCGCGAAAAATTTCAATATCTAATACCATTTTTCTTGAAAATATGTGGAGGAAAGCTCGTCTGTGGCGATTTCACCGGCATGAACAGGAAGTCTCGCTGCGCATGTGTAAAATTAGATACAAGGGACAGTTAATTGTTTTAAGAATTTTAACAGTAAAATGTGTTAAACCCATATAATCCACTTCATTATATTATAATCAGCCAATCAGTCTTTTATAAATATAACTACACTATGTATATCAGCATGACTTAAGCTGAATATGGAAGTTATCGGAGGGAAAAATAATGATATAATTTATGCTCCCTAAAATGACCCCATTGCATCAGCCGGCCTCAGCTGTGCATTGTGAGTAATCATGTTCATTTATAGGAAAAGTGTGCATTGCATCAAAAAATGTAATTTGGACCCTTTTGTAAGATTAAATAAACACATAAATACATCATTAATAATATGAGCGTGTTTTTCTTTTTATAAATTTTGCAGGATACTTAGTATTGTGGATATATTATGACAGGTGGTCCTACATACTGAGTAGGACCCACCAAACTTTGCTGAGAAGGGGTACTTCAGTATGATAAGTAGGTGGAAACCATTAAAAAGAAAAAAATTAATGCAGATAATTATTACTCCACCTTTATCATAGCACAGAACAAAAAAAGTGTCAAAGAGTTCTGAGTTACTGGACCAAAATAAGTTAAAATAAAAACAACAGTTCAGTGACTGATAATATATATATTTATTACAAGAACTTCAATATCACAGAATACGATGTACATGACAAGGAGATATATATAACAGTCTCTAAAAAGAGGAAAAATACAAGTAACACAGCATATAACCTAAGTATGTGTATGTATTTAAATTCTGTTTAGCACCTTCCCACACAATTCTCAATGACTTCGTTGCGTTGCCTAAGATAGAGAATATTCACATGACTATATCCAAAATATATTCACTGATATGCTGAAGTGCATTTGCATAACTCACAAAGTGAACAGTATTATATCTTGATCATGAAGTTACATTTTCTACATTATATGCATAGTCACAAGAGCAACTAACTCCTGAGCAAGTTCCAATACGGAGGATGAAACTTAGGACGCCACACCTAAGAAAGGTTTGTTTTATCAAAACTCAATAATTCAAAGACAAATATTAAAATACCTTCTTTCATATAAAAAAAGGCACCTCACTAGGTAAAAATTGTATACAAGACCTCTATTCATGAAATGTTTTTCTCATAATTATAAATCAGTCTTCTCACAACCAAAATGGACACCGTAAATCATCGAGCTGAGCCTGCTGTAGGCGGCTAACCTGGCTTTAAGGCTCCACTGTCATACAATGGTTCCAAAGTTGGTAGAAGAAAAGAGTGAAATAACAAATGAGACACAACTTCATCAGCTTTTAGTTTCTGGCACGAGGTAAACTGTTAAGGAGTGCTAGAGTGTTGGTATGCAGCCAAAATAAGAGGAATGGCTTGTGTTCTTATAAAGACCTATTTCTTTTATGACAGAGCAACAGCTAGGGTTTTAATACATATGGGGAGGAAGTTATCAGACATGGTAAATAATATCACAACTGAATGTGAAAAGACCACTTCAGCAATGACATAGGCTTTGAAAATTCTATACACTTTGATGTTTATATCTCAAACAGCAGCATAGTCTTCATGTTTTATCACATAAATCAATAAACAAATTTTACATCTATTTCATAAATTAGCCTTAAATAAATAAATAAATATCACAAAAATATAAATCAATAAAATGTGCTGTTTTCCAGTCAGTCTGTTTCCTCCTCCCCTCTGTCCATCCTCTAAGCTGTATCCCCTGTCATCTTTATGGTCATCCACTCCTGGTGTTACACTGAGTTTGGTTGTAAGTGTATGGCTCAGGTGCTATCGGCTGCTTCGGGGAGTCGTAATACCCATTTGCTGTTGGTCCATAATGCTCTGGAAATACAAACTATTTGTAAATACGGTACTGGCAGCATTCAACACCAGCCCAACAACTCTACAGGGAAACAGATTCTTAAATTTTCTTTTGACAAAGTAAGTGGGATCATTGCAAATGAGAAAAGAGGATTCTAATTCAATTGAAGGACCCATGTTTCTCACAAGATCTTTTTTACTAGGTTTTTGTAACTAATTTTGATGCCCATCTTATCTATTTGACCCCTACCTCAACCCCAATGTTACTATCTTTCTACTCTCTTTCTCTTTGCTCCTCTCCTCTCTCTCTCTCTCTCTTTTCATTTTTGTGTCAAACCCCCCCCCCCCCCCACTTTTTGATAAGGTCGAGACATAGTAACTTCCAGGTCAAAAAATATGATCCAAAACAACTCGATGAATCAAACCATTCACTTTTATTCACTATTGCTCTGACACTGTCTATTGCTCTTTCTTGTGTAAAACAGGTGCCAAACTTCAATTTTAAAACTGGCATAACACAGAACAATACTTTTATATAAAACTAAAATCTCATTTTCAGTCAAAATGACCATTGTAAAACTGGCCTCTCACCTCCAGAACTCTTGTCCTCGGCATATTTACTGATGACGCATTGTCTCTGTCCGATGCCTTTCACCTCCTCTGCCTCCTCTCTCTCCTGCTTTGACTTACAGCTGTGGCGGATTTTGTCTGCCACGTAGCTGCAAGCTGGAAATACAAGTGAAATTTGTGTTATATGTTACCAGTGTGAGTTTGGAACAATTAAATAATAAACGTAGATTTTTTTAATGCAATATCCTGAAAATTTCAGTAATTTTTCCTGCATCACCACGGCATACCCTATCAAAAAATGATGAGCAGAGCTACATGTACTACCTATGAACCAGTTATCTGGCCCTAAATTCTAATTTTCATGATCACGATTGAAATCTTCAGAGGAAATTAAATTTCTAAAATAACGTGTAGATTTTTTTAATCAAGGAAGTAGATAGGACTAAGCAATGGGTTTAGTCAAAGGTTTGTAAGTCTGTGCTGCGAATAAGTCATATTTCAGTTATTCCTGTCTTGAATCTTTTGGAAGTTTTTAGTTTTGTCATTTTGCTGACTCATTACGATGGCCACATCATGAGAGTTAGCTATTTAGAATAACACCCAAGTTGAGTGCAATTCTACCACTTAAAACCAGTTGTGGTGGCGAAATGGAACGCTTAATCGCTTCATTCTTAATCTGACTTTCACCAAAATTCCTACTTACCATTTATTATTAATCATACCATCTTTAAACAGTGTACAAGGCCTTGTTAAACAGTATTTTGAAGCAGATTCCACCTTCCTGCTTCCTACTTTTTATGCTTTATATGATGTAAATACTTTCTCAACCGATAGATGTCACCAATTTCAAGATAAGACAAAATATAAAACTTTTAGCTGATTAACAGATCAAGAGTTGACTTTTAATGGAAAACTTAAACGTTACAAAACTTTTTTTATAAGATAAGAAACAAAATGAAACACACACTGTGACACACAAAAAAAAACTATTTTCAAACCACACGGTGCAAAATGTAACGTTATCAACTTGCGCCATCTTTCGGCTACCTCCAAAACAAACGCTCTTAGAATATACGTTTCTGAATGCACAGCCTGATCATGACGAGACATTGCATGTATGGAATCCACATTTTTTAAAACTTACATGACCATTTAAGTTTCCAAAAATCAGTGTAAATAGTTGCCCAGGATATGCAATCATCTTGTACGTCTTGGCAGGCACATGTGATAAGCCTGTTAAACATTACCCCTGGAATAGACCGCTACTAGTATGGTGATGATTCAGGAGGAAATGGTTTATTTTACAGATGGGCCTAACGCTAGTTTTTATTTATTTTTTTTTTTTAACACAACAACATGGCTATTGAGAGGTAGCAACAAACTTGATAATATCTTCTATACAGTACAAGTACCAAAAATGCCATACAAAATGTAGGCCTACATTTTATCATTCCAAAATTAGGTGAAAGATGGGCCTATAGTGTTGCCGACACGGCAGAAATTATATGCGTTGTAATCATTTTTATTTTTATTTCCACGATGTTCTTATGTTTATTTATATTGTGTTAGAGAAGAAACTACTAACACTGCTCAATTAAGTAACATCTGTTCATTTAGTCATGTGGTCAACTGTAAAAGCCGATGTTGCATGTGCTCTGCGCGGTCATTTATTATTTACTGGCAGAGTGGAGGTATGTTATGATATTACGTATAGCTTGTGTAAAATTTATGTATTTAATAAAGTGTAATTCACTTATATAGAGGTATTTTGTGTAGTTTACAAAAGTTTACATAAGTTTACATAAGTTTAATCAGTAAAATAAGTTATGAGCATCGTGTTTATTAAAATCTAAGTTAGTTTGGGTGTGGCATTTTCATGAACAACACGTACATGTACATGTAGGCCTATATTAACGTTATCAAATAAAATTACAGTCACAGCTCAGAATGTCATGACCGTCTCTGGGCAGCCAGTTGGCAGCGGAAAAAAACGAGTATGGATTTTGTTTTAGTGTAAGTGTTTAAAATTAAATAATAAATAATTAGTGAAGTAAACTTACACGTATTTAAAGATCGATTTTTTTTTTTTTTTTTTTTTTTTTTTGTTAAGATCACATGAATTAAGTTATTTAGTATATTTGGTTTATTATCTCGTTATTTCATTGTATTGTTATTATTATTTTTTCTTTTTCTTTTCATTTTATAGTTTTCACCAGTTTCAGTTCAGTTTCTGTCCAGATTCTGTTCAGTTCTGTTCACACTCCGTGAATAAACAACAGTATTATCCAACGGTGTTTCTTCATTTACTCGTGGTCCGCTACATATAAGCTTACTAGTTAGATGGATTTCCGTATTGATTGAGCCATTACCATAATAAGTTTGTAACAGTTTGTAAAATAGTTTGCTCAAAGAGTCTCCTATTATTATTTTATTTAGTAATGTGATTTTTTTTAAATCTGAATATTATAAATGTAATAACGGTAAATTTAGTAAAGAGCAAAAAGCTAGGATTTGCGAACATTCTGAACTACGCAGTTTGACCAGCCTCTTCGCTTCGCAGTGGACCGGTACATGGGTCAATTCAATTAACAGATAGGACCTTCATCTTTAAATGAACTTGGACAATATGTTAAATTGCATCTATGCAGGGTCAGCGTGATTTTCCGTGTGAAATGGGCCAGTGACTCGGGTAAGTGCACATGTTATTGTTAGAAATATTTCAATGATCAAAACAAAGTTCTGAGTCTTAATTGTTATGTCAATCTTGATATATGGAGGTGTTTTATTAATAATTTTAATGATTTTATAAAAATACGCACTTTTGTGCTGTTGGAACTAGTGCAGACAAAAAAGTTATGAATTTAAATTGAAGAGATGGCATGATAAACAGCATTTAAACTGATAACGAAGAAAAACTTGGCAAGCATGTGGATGTACGTGTACCTTCCACGGCTCATGTTGGATAACCGTCAACTTAAAATGTCTTCTTTATATATGAATATGTATTCCATTCACCCACCTAAATGGTCTAAGGGCACCATGTAACATATAAAAGCAACGATGTGGACATTAAAAAATCCTTTATTAATATCTTACAGTTCTTAAAATAGTGAAATTTTAATCACCGTTTTAATTATTATCAATTCTTTCACAATATTATTGGTTAGTTTACATCTGTATTTGGAAAGTAAAGGTTACATAATCAGGCCCGTAGTCAGCAATTTCAAATGGGGTGTTCGTTTTTTGAAAAAGTGGACATTTTCCCATTAAACCTTCATGTACCTAGATCAAATTCTATCCAAAGTGGACCTTTTTCCAGCAAAAAGGGCGGTTCTTTCGAACCCCCCGAACCCCCCCCTGGCTACGGGCCTGATAATGCAATCCCCCGAACAAACGAAACTTTCGGTAGGGATTTAGTCCCCAACAACTTCTAACACAGCCGAAACGCAGTTTTAAGCTGGTCATCCGAGAGAATGTCTCCGTATATTTGGAGACATGACATACGTCCCTGGAAATTGTCGTAAGAATTGAATCTTATCTTGGATCGAGCAAGGTAAAGGTGGTAGTTTGTATCGAAAAAACCTCCTCCAGGCTGCACAGTAGAAATGACCCTGGTAAGAGTGGAGCTCAGACCTCCAGCCCGCACTGTGTACAGCTCTGACGCCTGATGATACTGCACCACTATTCTCAACCAGTAACCCAGCACTGTTTTAAACATTTTGCTATGGGTCATATTCTTATCATCTATTTCCATGTAATTTTGATGAATCCAATAAACAATACCAAGTTTGTTGCTTTTAGGGTCATCTATAAACCCCAAAGGCATTTCCCAATCGCGCAAGTGTGTCGGCATCAGCCAAAACATCAAGGTTACAGAACCTTTTCTATTAAACAAGGAAGTGTTTCTCTTTGGAATATGTCCGAAAGAGTCGTCTCTACCTCTAAACAATATGGCGCCCCCCTCCTTCCCGTCCGGTCCAGGTGCGAAGCTGGTGTTATATGTCACGCCGTCGTTACCGTTACCACTAAGGTCCTTCAGTCCATTCTTCGAATCCATGGCCCAGAAACCAAGGGGATTCGGAAGGCCTGAATAAATGGATAAAACTATTAATACATGTGCTTCTCAAGAAACAGCCCTTGGAAAATTTGTCTTACAAAAAGTCATTTTAATGAAGGTGCTATGTAAATGTTTTCACGCATTGCAAAATCTACGACCTGCTTTTCGTCAAATGTAAAAATGATTTTAATGTAGGGATGAAAACGTCAAGCCTCAAAAGTCAAAATTTTACATGAAAAGATTAACATAATTTCATCACTTCACAAGCTACAATGAGACCAATTTCATGACAAAAATTGCTATAGAGGAAGTACGTATTTTACATTTTGTTTAAGAGGTTATTGGAAATATCATATGTATCTTATAGTAGAGAGGTAATTAAGTTTCCATTAACCTCTAAAACTGTGTTGTGACTCGCATGCAATATGAACAAAAAATCTAAATACACGTCTTTTAAATGTGGATTGTCTAATCACCTCGTGGTTATTTTCTTGCATTGTGTACTCCCGATTAAAAATGACACCATTTACCTGGAAATGCCATTAGAGTCGGTTTAACAGTTGTCATGGCTGTAGACGAAGGTACTGTGCTTGACTTCTCTGTTGTTGACATCGACGTAGTTGTCTTCAACACCGTCGTCTTTCTGGTCGACATGGAAACCGACATAGTTGTTGATTTTTGTTGGGCTGAGGCTGCAATTTTACACTGTACATACTTTGCAGACAGCTCGCGGTAGACGGCAGCAGTAAACTTCAGTTCCATATCCAAAGCAGTCTCAGTATTCCGCCGCCGGCCGAACTCAGGAGGGTAGTTAAGTCCTGTCAATTTTTGAACCAGACCCGAACATTCTGCTAACAAGTGTTGTTTCAGAGACGACAATTTGTGATTCAGTACATACAATTCCAACTGTTTGGAAAGGACATTTCCAGTTTGCGTAGTTGCATTTGTCAGGCAGAACCCAAAACACAGAAGAACTGCGATCTGTACCGATGACAGCGTTCCCATGGTCTTTGCGGTTGTGTTGGAACGGTGACGCGAAAATGTACTTAAAGCGTCTTTGACGTCATTCGGCGCTGCATGATTGGTTCTGTTCACACAAGAGGCAATTTGGTTTATTTTTCACTTTAGTTCAACTATGGTTAAACACGTAGGCCGACATAACACACTGTCTCTGGATACATAGGGTCTGGTATCTACTACTAAATGCCAAAGCCTTGTGAAAACCCTAGGAAAGAAATCGAATTTTATTTCAAATAGTTGTTTGGTCCGCGTCAGCCTCTCCTTGAATATTTACTTCTCCACCTTAATTCTGATAGCAGTGCAAAATTCTGACCTAAGCTTCTTTTAAGTCTTCGGGTCTTGGTGATAAGTTTCAGTTAAAGTCACGTTTCTCACTCCCAGTGATGACTTTCACGACCTCATAAGGTGATTAACGCACGAGATGTGCATCTGTGCTAGTCTCAATGATTATATACCAGACAACCTTAAAGGTACATGATGTCTGTAAGACATTTATTCTGCTTAGCAAGATATTTAATTCAATATGTTTATTTTCATCATTTGGGTACAACTTATCCAAAACCACTGACAAAACAAAGATTTATAACAGCAGTTTTAAGTTTTACGTTTCTAATTTTCACTGTCTGGCGATAAAAATGGTTCTGAGGTTCACTCACAACGGTGAAAATAGACATTCAAAACTCAAAAATAGGGTGTATTCCCAGAGATTTAGATCGATCCAGGGATTAAAATTAAAATCGATCTAACTCCCTGGGAGTTCAAGCTAAATTGCAGTAAGCCGAGCGCGCACCATAGTTAATTACCCCCTTACAGCTTTCAGTAGGCGGGACAGACGCTTAAGCCGGCTAAGCTGACAGTAATCTAGTGAGACTCCCCACAGGGATAGATCGATCTAAAAATCTATGGAAATGGGGTGATAGATTGTCATTTTCTGAATTGTTTTGGATAAGCGGTACTTCCTAACCCCAGGCTCGGCTGTTGGCGTAGAATTAAGCTACCCTTAGGAATATTTAGGTAAATACTATTTCGAATTTCCTTTAAGTGTACAGGGTAGTTACCGTACCGTAATGGCTCTTTGTTACCTCACAACGCGGTTAGCACACGGCTTGCACTTGTCCATCTGTATAATTCACATTGGTCATATACTACTCTCTTAGTGTCTACACATACTGGCAGACCCCTTACACCATACATAAATTGCAGCTAAATGCTCGTCATGTCTCGTAATAAAGAAGAATTAATGTGAATATGATTCGTGAATGTGAAAACGGAAAAGAAGAACTCACAAACGCGGTATGCTTTAGGTGACATATAAATCATAGACTTATGAATTACGTGATTTTATCTTTAATAATTATTTTCTGCTCATACTGTTACAAATCATTAGTCTACTTAATAGCACAATTCTAAAAGAATAAGAAAACTAGTTAAGAATTTTAATTTTAATTCTAATTTTAATCTTAAAAGACTTCTAAGCGATTAATGATGTTGAAAAAAATCCCCCAGTCTGTATTAAGATGACTTTAGGCCTATAAATACCATGAAGAGATGGATTGGCTTTTCTTTAAATTAAGGTTACGTAATTTAAAAACAATTAAATAAATACAGAAAGGTATGATTCGACTTCAGTCAGACTGTTATGACTAACTTATAGAAAAAAAACAATCTGTGAAGTTCCATCTCAGTCTTAATTTCATAGTGGCCGAACTCAGCATACACGTTAACCCGCAGTTCACACCCGGAGCTGCAGTGCCTTCGTATCTTATACAGCGGTGCACGTCCGACCGACATATACTGTCTCGTGAATAGTGGGCAGTAAATTGGGCTTTGGCGCAGTTTTCATACCACCAGCCCCCTCCGTTACTCAAAGCACAGCTAGAACCAGTGTTGGCGGCATTGTCTCGATCAAAAGTCGAAAATGCCAACCCCTGGGTGATATTAGCAAAACTGTCTTGCGTGACGTTACCTGAATAGCCATCTAGGTACAGACCGTAATTTGCCTCTTCCTCCGCGACGCGAAAGAGGCTGTATTGGATATAGATGGCGCTACTAGGAAGAGCGACCATGTCAACTTTTAAAGTTGCGTTGCTGTTTTGAGAGTTGGTGATTTGGCTGAGGAGCTCCAGTCCAAGCCAATAGTCCCCCGCCGAAGCGTTTCCAAATCCGGTCTTATACTCCGCCCAAGTTCTGTTAAAATTGAGATCATCGTTGGTCCGTTTTAGAAAGATTAACCAGCCGTCTTCGCACTGCGCGCTCTTTGTGAGGTTGTCACATGCTATTTCCATGGTACCTGGAGAAATGACATAAATGAAAGTTCAAAACAGTTTCTTTGCGACTTTGTAGCAAAATAAAAGTTTCGCCGAAAAGTTTGGAAATATATGATATTTTTTATATGAAATTTCCAAACTTTTCGGCGAAACTTTAAAGAAAGTCATGAATTACGATATCCAGCTATGCAAACAATTTTTGAATTAAAAGAAAACTAACATGCTGTGTATAGTGTGTATGTTTGTGTGTATGTATGTGTGCGTACTTTTGTATGTATGTATGTGCGAGAGGGGGAGCAGTGAAGGGGAACCCTACATACCCGAAAAATTAGCCGGACACAACGTAGTGTTCAAACACCCATAAACCGGCGAGACAGTAGAGGTCGCCACAATCGTTGATTGTTCTGTGTTTTGAAAAGTGGAGGCGTCCATCAACGTTGACTGTGTTGTGGGCACCGTAGAAACTGTAGTCTCCATCGTCGTTGGTGCTTCGGTAGTGTCGACAGATCCAGCTGTTGTTGTCGTCTCTAATGCGATTATTGCTGTTGTAGTCAATAATGTGTCCACCACTGTTGACGATGTTGTCATTGTTGTTTCTGACGTAACTGTGGCTGTTGTTGACAAAGTGTCAACTGCTGTTGCTGTTGTTGTTATTGTTGTTGTTGTTGTTACATCCGTTACGGACCCAGTGACCGTGGCCGAAGTTGTAGTGGACACGCCGACCGGTATACTTGGCACCCCGGACGCAATGGTGGACCTATCTACCGCACTGCCATTTGACTGCAAGGGTACTGGGTGGGTGCAACATTGTATTAGTATGTAAATTAAGGTGCACATGTCTATCTCATTCTCTATATTTAATTTATATTTTAGCATTTTATAAACTTAACAGAGTAATTATTATTTCAAATTTTATTAATCTTGAGAGAGATCAAAATGGCAAAAAAAGTTGAAATAAAAATCATATAATAAAAGTAGGCAAGTATCGTAACTATAATTTTGCCTAATAAATTAAAGAGACTTAAAAAGATAAGTTACGATTCTAAAATTATTCAACATAAGTATATAAATTATAAAAGTTTTCAATACAAAAGGGGTAAACGTTTTTGAACAACAGGCAGATCTCAATTTTAATTCGGTGCTTTTTGACGTTCAAACAGTCGAGATCTTCACTGGTGCATTTTAACGCGATGAACAAGCTGCGTGAGACAGTCCCATTTCTGATATTTTAGTTGAATATCCCACGAATAACAACACTTCTGAACATTTCTTTGTACTTTAGAAAAACGAACGAACGAATTGCCATAAATGTCTCAGTTTTTATTCGATTTTCATAGGGACACTACAAGGTGAAAAGAAGATAATGCGAAACAACGCACTGCTCTATGCTAACAACCGGAATATTGTAAAATTAATAACTTGACTCGAAACTTGGGTGAACTTGAAATCGTAGTTGACGCTACCCCAACGTCAAGGAGTGTCACATAAATAAACAACGTAAAAGCCGNGGGCCTGAATTTTATGCTCAATTGTAACCCTTTTACCTTAACTTACATTTGCCATAAATATACAGAACTTTTGACAATAGAGCTTTCCTTAAATCTCTACAAAATGTACCATCACTGTATAACAATTTAATTGTTCAACATCATATTCAACATTTTGTCTCCTACGCTTTCATTGAAGCCAGTGCTGCAATATTCACAATAAACATGCTTCATAAGCAGCCAAGAAGGGTTCAAAAGAAACAACCTCAAACAAGACAGCAAAGCTGTCAAATGTACAGACGTAAGATAGAAAATATAACGATAAAAGTGCGCAAAATGATATTTCATAATGCTTCCGTGCATAAAACATCACCGGTTTAAGTAATGCGTTAATGTTAAAGTGGAAACACTGCAAATGTTACTAGCAATAGGCTTCAGGTCCATGGGGGTTCATAGTATCATCTTGAAAATGTCAATGTGTGAATAATGAAAAATTCACAAAAAAATTTGTATAATATAAATAGATCAATAAACCTGCTATTCGAACTTGCCCTGTATTTATATTTAGCGCTATGAACTACTCCTGTATGTTTGAGGTTGATAAGGCATATGAGTATCCATTGATTGTGGTAACGATGATGGTGCACAAAATAGGGTTTTATGTCAATTTCATGATGTTTAACTGCATAATCAACACCAGTCCAGTTATATACTAATGTTAATGTAGACATTCTGAATGTTGAAAATCACACCTTTAAAAGTCCATTTGTGATGAAATAATGTGATGAAATATTAGCAAAAAAAGAAAAAATAATAATAATAATAATAAATAAATTCATAGAAAAAATCTCAAATAAAGGTGATTTTTGGACATGACCTGTATTTTAGTACTATCAATCACTGCAGTAAGTTTGAGGATAATTAGTCACACGGTTTTCCCATTTAATGCGTCTAGAGTGCACGGCGACGTCCATGACAGCCACAGGGGATGGCTATTTGTACAGACACAGTGTGTCGATACATTAAAAGATCCTCTTTTGATTTGAAATAAGCATTTAAACCTGAAACACGATACCATTTTGTAAAACAATTTCCTTTTTTTTTCATTTCCGACCTAACCCCCCCTCCCCCTCCCATCAAAAGAAAGGAATTCAAATTTTTGGCAACCGGCCATTTATCGCCGTTCCACAAAAGACCAACTGGGTAATGACGTCATGTCTGAAATTCTGAGCAAAGGGCGCATTAAGAACAGCAGACTAACAGATCCATTGATCAAATATGGCGACCCACTAAAAAGCTTGCCGCTTAATTCCCAATTAGACACTAGATAAATTCCCTGCGGGGATTATGCAACAAGCATTCAAGTTGGTCGGCCATATTTGATCTGCGGATCTGTTAGTCCGCTGTTCTGAATGCGTTCTTAAGACAGGTTCTCGCTAGACAGAAATGTGCAAAAATTAGAAAGAGAAAAATATATGAATATCTAGGGAAAAATTATACGTGGTGTTGATAGATGGTGTCTTATACCTTGAGTGCACAGAAGTATAGAATATGCGGAGTTTCTGAAACAGAATTAAATAATGTGTCTAGTGCGTGTGATGTTTGCAAGGCTGCTAAAGGTAAGAATAAAATGTGACCACACATTTACAATGACATTTAAGGGTAAACGTCGTTGTCGTACTGTATATTTCAGTCTATATTTACTGAACCCGACAACGAGGCTGTTCCACAGAAAATACTTACTGATGTCGTCCTCTGCGCATGCGGTCAAAGGGATTGGGAAGAAGTTGAGATTTTTTATGAGATCTGAAAGCATGCAAAGATAAAAAGTAAGCAAGTGGCATATGTAATGCCTGCATGGGGAGAAAATAGCCTGTCTTTTGAGGTTACGTTTAAGGGACTGGTCAGACGAGAAATTCTTAAGACTGGAAGAGCTACTCGTGCCACCACGCGACCAGACGGGATCTTCCGAGATAGCCCAAACTCTAGCGACATAACGCAAAATCACGCGATATGTGGAGCAGAGTTGGGTCAGATATAATGACAGATTAAAAAAAAAAAACACTTTTATTCCACTAGGTGTAAAAAACATCCAAAAAAGAGATCATGTGATCATGGCAATAAAACGCAATAGACATTAATGTTGGCACGACAAAAATCGAAAGTGTGATCTGTAAATGGATATAGATTTCTAACTGGACATAGTCATTAGGCTTTGCTGGCGAATTATCGAAAATGCCATCAAATCTCTTTTCATGGAGCATAAGGTGCGAATAACTCGCCACCAAGACTTTAATACCCCTCAATTGAACACGCTACCCATGCTATAATGATTTAAAGCATTTGAAGTTTACGAAAGAATCCTGAATTTTTAAGAACAGTTGCCATGGAATGAGCATCAAGTTTTATGTGTGGTAAAGAAGTCACAAATAGTTAAGATTATCACGAAACGTATGAAGGAAGACAATAAGAATAGCACTACTCATGCATCTTTGAGAGAAAACAAGACGAGTGTTTGAGCATCAGACATCATATCGACCGGGAGACTGTGATAAGCATGCGCAGTACCTTTTCGCCAGGCCCGTGGACTTCTCTTTTTCCAGGTGTTGTAAGACGCTGACCAGAACCTTTGCCATCTGCTTTGCATATTGTAACGTTAAGCTGGACGTGTTGGTGTCTTCATTTCTGAAAAATTAAATAAGGGTTGGCCAAATGTTTGATTAGAATATGTTGTGTCTTCGTCTGTAAAATCCAATATTACAACACCTTGGACGGTTTTGAAAAGGTCAGCTATTACCCAAATAAATGGAAGCGTGGGGGAACTACTGATGTCACAGAAAAAGAGAAAAACTTACTATTTTAAGGCAAACAACGCGCGATAGACCTTAATAGGGGGAAAATATTAATTTTCACGAAAATGTCAGCAATTTTCCTTTATCGCCAAGGAGTAACCACTCAAAACCGTTCCCCAAAATAAGATTCATTACCTCATACGTGTTGTACTGTGATAATAAAAGGAAACAGACGTACGTTTTTCTTCTAAATTAAGGACCAACAATCGTTCACTTTTCGATAATGAGGCTTACTCACATTTATATACCGAGTGACCTATGGTACAGATAACTACTCACCACGTAAAAAGGAATTGGGCGGGAGAAATGGTATTACAGAGATCAGGAGCATCTCAGTTCTCATCATTAATTAATTGGTCAATGAATGGATCATTATCAAAACCCAGATTAGCTTATTCTTAACATTTCAATCAAATTCACCTCAAATTTATTGAGTAAGGCTGTTCGGCAATAAGCCAAGAAAGATAAATACACAACTCCCTGTAGTATTATGCTAATCAGATACCTGTCTTCATCTGTGGTTACTGATATGCGATAGTCAGTGTCTCCGGACGTAGTCGACCACGGGGACGTGTTACTGCAAACCAAAAAATATATATATAGAATTAAAAACTGTGTTATTTAAATATTTTCAAAGAACGTTCTATTGTCAGCTTTGGTGCCTTTATGCTGTTGAAGCTCACGAATAAAAGCAACGCATTAAATCAATTCACCAGGAATTTCTATATCCAGCGTGATATTTCTACTGTCACGCCCTTTCATGGGGAAACTTCCCGGGGGCAGTACGCTTTTGTTCATGAATGCAAGTGAGAGTGTGTTTGTGTGCGTGTTGCCCAGCATCTCCGTGTACCCCCCTTTCCTATGTCCTTCTGAACCTACGTCATTTACATCTGTTTTTATCTAATTTGTACGCCGAGTGGGTAATTTAGCAAAATAACTTAATTTTCCGAAGTTTAATTGCCATAAATGAGAACGATTATCAGTGTTTAATTACTGTTAATTGAGGTCCATGTACGCCAAGATCGGTCTTCAGTCCCATCGATTAAGTCAGCTACGTTGTCTTGTATGTCAGAATTCTTGCAATCAAACAAGGCAAATTCAAAACGAGCATATGTTCCAAGAGTAGGTGAGAAAATGTCAATCCTTAAAGGTTATGTTAAATGATAAGGCTACAGAATCAATAATCATAAATAAGATGGGACGACTGGAATTTATAAAATAATCTGGAAAGTGCGTTTGGATACATTTGATTTATGATTATTTTTGAAATAAATGAATGAATTATCTATGAAATTAACAACTGGGATAAAAAGAAAAAATCGAAAGAGTCCCAACAGTCTGCTTCAAGTATTGTGCGCCCCCCCCCCCCTTCGCGTTCTGTTTAAACATGATAACAAGCTAATGTTCTTTTCATTCTAATAACTATGGTAATGACAAACCTAGATAAGTATCTTAACAGATAAAAAAAATCGTTACGTGATCTTAAAGATCATCCACTGGTAACAACCACCAGATTTGTCCTAACTTCAGAAAGCAGAATGGCGCCCCTTCCCAACGTTCTCAATTTTCTTGCACCCCCCCCCTTCCCAACACACACACATATACAAACGCGTGTGCCCGTGCACGTACACAGGTACACGCACCAACACGCATGCACTCGCCTGTGCACGTGCTCGCCCCCCACCCCCCAACCCCCACACACACAGCGGTGTGTCAGACCAATGGGTGTTAACACTGGGGGGAAAGCAATCAGCCATTTGTAATGATTCGGTTTAACCTACCTGTTAACTGCGGCATCCTCTGGTAAGATATCGTCCACTGGAGCCGCCTTGGCACTGTAGATACATAACACGAATACCAGAACTGTGACCGCCGCATGGGGCATATTTCTTGTGTCTGTGGCACTGCCAGTGTGTTGAACGAATTTCCGCATCGCTGAAAATAAAGAGTAAGGTGTGACTTACACGAGCTGTGACAGTGGTCTGCGAGGCAATCTAGTCGTCAGTTACCTTCATATTGTCAGTAAAAAGGCTTTGGTCCGTTTTGTCTTTTTAAGGGAAGAGGTTTGCCGTCAGGGGCTCTTACTATGTGTCTATCATACCAGATATGGCAATTCGCTAACTCACGCGTACGTGGAAGCTCACACACACGCGCACGCACATGCACTCACGCACTCACACACACGCGTGCACACACACACACACACACACACACACACACACACTTGACGGGCATACATGTACATACACAAGCCCAAAACGTACTTCCTTCTAAATCAAAAAGAAAAGTCACAATGGTAGCCAGTAAGCCGCGGCCAATAACATAGGCGTAGCCGATGTACCAGTAGAACAATCTAAGAAATGATGAGGCCGCCTCAACGAAAATTGCCTTTAAAGCAGTTCATGGGTGCGAGTTATAAGCTGTAGCATCAGGTGCTTTTACGCCAATCAAACAGTACCTGATAAATGGCCACTAATTGCTTTTCCCGGGAATACCTTATGTAATTACGACCTACTTGAACCGTTTATACATGTATAGTTAGAACATGACAAAGATTAGTGCCACACATCTGAACTGATGATCCCCATCTCACAGCATTCATACCGATTACATGTAATATGTAGATAACATGTGCTTCTACCACGTGAAATATGCGTGGAAAGTCAAAATCCCTGTGACAGATATCCACACTTTTCAAAAGACTCCCAGTCTGCTGGATTAAGTCTTATCTTACCAATATCTCGTTACCCCGCTGATAACTTGACGTATAAAATATCGTCCAAGTGAAAGGTCCTTATAGTTAATTAATCCCGTGACAAAAACTTTTGCACGTAACCTTAAGTTCGAAGCAATTAGTGCAATAAAGGTTTAGTTGTGGCCGGGCAGCAGTTGCTTGCGAGACAGAAATTAACATTCAATACGATCGAATCTCAAGTATCGAGATTAGCTAACAGTGTGTGCTTGTGTTTTTATTGTCGTAAACGGCTTGTTTGCCATCGTTCGATATTTCTTTCAAATATGATTTATTATTATTATTATTATTATTATTATTATTATTATTATTATTATTATTAGCTTCGTAGGTACGGTGCATTCACAAGGTATTGCACGACTTCAGTTACCAAGTGCAAATGATTAACGGAATGATGAATAAATGAAAATTGCTAATTTCAGCAATTTTAGTGTTTTTAATTTCATAATCTGTCGAATGATATAATGCCTGCGTTTTGGGGGTAAACTTATCTTTGACGGGTCCAAGGATTTTTTTCAGGCCAATATATTCCATACCGTACTTGATGTTTACAATGTTATCTGCTGTGCTATGGAAAAATTATGGAGGACTTCAGGCCAGACACTCTTCATAGAGCACGCATTCAGAACAGCGTACTAACAGATCCGCCGATCAAATATGGCGACCCACTGAAAAGCTTGCCCCTTTATTCCTGATTAGACACTGAATAGATTCCCCAAGGGGATTACGAAACTGGCATTCTAGTGGGTCGGCCATATTCGATCCGCGGACATGTTAGTCAGCTGTTCTGAATGTGCTCTAAAACAGTGCCAGAATATTCAAGTTTTTGACCCCCCGATTGCCATGTACGGACTTTTTCACTTATCTGTTCTCTGAGGTCTCACAAGAAAAATTCTCCATTAAGTTCCTCCCAATTTAAATAAAATATATGTAGTAATAAAGGATGCTGTACACTATCATTTATATAGCCATGCTACTACCATATATGAACAAACGAAAGGGAAAATAACCAGTTTGATTTCTTTGTCATCTTTTAGGTGACACGGATATGAACGTCAGCATGTTGTCACGCAACTTCCAACGTGTTTCCACACCGGTGGCATTCAACGCAGACGTTAAAAGCGTTACTATGGCAATCTGCATCAAACGCAAAAATCATTTTGCATGACCCCTTGAACCTCAGGGTCGGCTGCGTGCAATGCCGCGTGCCCCAGCCAGATCATATAATAGCGATGTTGTTCGCGTCTCCGTATTAAAACGCTGTGCACGTTAGTTCTCAGGAAAACCGAGAGTCCAGAAGTAAATGCGATCCGGAGGAAGCACGTAAGGCATGCTTACAAGAATTATGCTGTCTAGTCCGTTTCCTCGCAGGAAGGACCGGTTTTTGCACCTTGAAAAATCAAACCTGATAATCTGCGCACAGAAAAAGAGACACGATGAAGACAACTAAAAGCACTAAGGCAATGGAATATTTCATACTGATTTTCGATATTCTGCGATAAAATGCTTAATTTTTGACATTCTTCTTTAAATAAACCACACACCCCCAACAGGAGGGTATCTTATGTGTTCTTTAAAAATGTTTCAAACATATTTTTGATAAAATGTCACTTTTTCTTTTCTTTGAAAATATGCATCTGACCGCAATTGCATCTTCTTCAATAATGACGACAACCCTCTTTCCAGAAAAAAAGATAGTGAAAAAATTTAATCAGTTTTTGTACACTTTTGTCGCTTGCCACTGAGATGACATAATATGCAGGAAACAAGTAAAAACAGAAGAGATTGCCTTGAAAAGGGAAATGAGTAATCGGCTGCAATCAGTGTGAACCCTGACGCCAGGTGATAAACATCAAATTTATCTTCACGATAGATTTCATTCGTGTATAATTGATTCTTTGTTTACATACAATTACCTTTGATAATACCGAGTTTCCATAAATGAATACTTATATATCATATAAAAGGGAGATAACGAACAAAAGATAATGCAATAAAATATATAAGCTAGGCAGCGAAAGAAAAAAAATCATAAAAAACGTTAATCACGTACAGTTTAAACATATATAATCGTGGATAGTCTGAATAGTCCCTATGCAGACATGAGGATGTCCATTGGAACCACATCCTTTATTAACCGATAAAGCTTTCTGCGCGACCGGATGTATTAACGATAAATATATAATAATAATAATCTTTATTGAGCACTAAAATGCATACATATTACATTTTACAGGCTCTCTACACTAGTCATAACAACTTAGCAACAATTATACAAAGCTATACAATACTTATTGAATGATTACTGGGAAGCAGCACAGAATAAAACGACTATTGCTATTGGTGGGTGTGTCGTTTTTTCAAACTTTCAGTTATATATAGATATAATGTTCTCAAACACAATTCACTTTTTGGACTGAGCAGCCACTGAATTTTTTCATGATCTGTTTTCTGCTCAGGAGGTATCATTAATCTAATTCTTCTGTATAGTTCGATGCACTTTTGACACTAGCCTCGCAGTGGGTGATTTAGAATTAAGAATGCAAAGTCGAAGTAAACAGAGTCAATAGATGGTGACAGAAATATGGCAAGTAAGGCGTAAGGACAACGGTTCTCTTCCTTTCTATGCACACGAGAGAGAGAGAGAGAAAGAGAGAGAGAAGGAGAGAGAGAAAGAGAGAGAAAGAGAGAGAGAGAGGGGGGGGGGTCCCAAGTTGTTCCCACTGCTAGATGTGGCGTTTATTTGATTGTGCGCCTGTACAAGGGACACCATCACATACAAGTATACAAGGCGTCCCATTCAGTTCCATGGTTGCACATAATACAACTATTGACACAAAAACAAAAGAACACACCCAAGGACACACGCGCGCACACACACACACACACGCACTTTCTGTAACGTTGGTAATTGACAGCCACGAAGCAGTAAGGAGAGGGGAGTGTTTTGTAGAGGAACTGAGTTGATTGACATGCTCTTATGATACTAATACAACTTCGTTTTATGTAAACAGAGAGAAGGCCGCTGGAGATTGCATGAGGTAGAGTTAGAAAAGGAAAGAAAGCGGCGCAGGAATCAACTGGAAAGTAGTTAAGGCNTGTTTTATGGCCCAGACCCCAACACTGTATAAATGTTCTTATTGATTCAGACCAACAGGGTCCTTTTTCTTTTTGCTCCTGTTCATAAATGTTTTTGACCAATCTGCTGGAAGGTAGCTCTTTGAGTCTGGCGCTGTATCTCTGTGTCTGTTTTGCAATATCAGAATAGAGTGGAAATCTTCCAAATTCAGCTCTACAGGCATTGTTCGTAGCATTTTTTCGTACACCTAGTGCCCATTTGCCCATTTTTAATCAATATTTTAAAACAGAGGGATGTCCCCTCCACCCCACCCCACCCAGCCCCTGTCCTTCACCACTTCCCCTCTTTTAACTCTCCAGCGTCCACTGAAGTGTCCAAAATGTATGCCAGCGCACCCAGGGCACGGGGTACTTGGTGACCCCAGCTGTCAGCTGGAGTAATTAACCAGAACAAGCAATTAGACACCCCGGACAGACGATACCAGATTCTTGTGGGGATCCTATAAAACTGGGAATGGCCATTAGCGCGATAGTGCAACAGACAGCTGGCGGACGTGATCGAGAACCTTGAGGTGGCAAGACGCTGGCGGCGTGGGTAGATGCGTTAACGTGTTGATGTTGTTGTCTCTATGGCAATCTGCCATTGGTTAAGTTTTCTTGAGGTCAAGCTGCCCCTAAGCAATATGATTTCTTTTCGAGTGGGAATCCATTTGGTGTAATATTACTGTGACAAATGAGTATCTTTACCTAACGCTATTGACTACCGTTTATATTTTGCGTATTTGTCCCAGTCTTGATTGCAAGTAATAATCGTTAAGCAGCGTGCGGCACTGTCTGTTATTTTCCAATGTTGATAAACAGTATTTAACGGAAAACAAGGTGCTTGACGTATTTACTGTAGGAATAGGGACTTTCTTGGTGCAAACCTCCAGCTGGGGCTTCCATTTCATTCTACCCTCTCTCTCTCTCTCTCTCTCTCTCTCTCTCTCTGCCTGAAGTTTGTCAAATGCTCCCCATAGCATTTAATAAGCATCTGTAATTCTTTTATGCTTTTTATCACACGCACAAACACACCCACAATTCTTGTAAGAAGTTTTTTTCCATTGGCAGATTTAAGAAGTTCTTAACATTATTACAGATCAACAAGATTCGGCTCAGTTTTCTATTTTTCTTGGCAGACTTGAGAATCAAAGTGACATACAAACTGCAAGAACCAATAACATGTACTCCCCCACCCGATTAAGTCCCTCGATTTATGAATATAAATTTCTGCTGGCATTTTGCAGAATTCTTTAGGAGATATATCCAGGGTACAGTTACAGAGGTCCATTATTTTGGATAATGTTCAGCTCCTAAGACGAAACTTATGTTTAAATTGCCATGAAATTTAACGATGATATTTTATCTAACCACTTTGATTCATTTCATTGTTTATAATGTTAGCGGTTGATGAGTTTTCAGGCAAAGGGTATACAACTGCATTACGTGATTGTGGATAATTGATATGTTAGCCTTCTTCGAGGTTAAAGTTTCAGTTGGCACCTGAAATTCTAGAGTAGCGACGAGAGTTCATTAAATGAGTGGTTTTGTTACCGGTTTTGTTGAGATCTGTAATGTAGCAGTCTGCCAGAGTACACGATTTTGCCTAAAAGCCATTCTCCTCCACGTACCCTGATAACTTGTAGTAAAGATTTTGATTAATTTCCATTAGAATAAAAATAATGGAAGAATTTTCTTCGACAAAGTTTGTTTATCTGGTAATTATTTCATTGTTCCATATCTATATCTTTCTTTGGTGAAAAGGCATTTTCAAAAAGGCATTCTTATTGTAGTAAAATTTACGTGGAGCACGTGTTATATCCAGAACCTATGACAAGTTCTGATGGTAAGTCAGTAGTTAGGAAGGTAATCCAATATGTCATCGTATACATTTGCCGAAAAAGAAAGACGGGAAAAAAACTGAAGTGAGAGGAAGTCGGCAGTGTTGTTTCCGTCCAGAAACAGATGTTTGCAGTTAGTTGTGCAAGGGCAATGTTCAACGACATGTGCTGAGATGTTATCACTGCCGGCTGGCTTTAGTCTTGCGCAACGTTGCTCCGGGTTCTAGTGCATCAGACTTTTCACGTTCTTGGTCCCTTTTCCGATTCCCGATTTCAGTTATAGGCAGATTATAAAAAAACAAAACACAAGCGGTTCAACTTTCAAAAATCCAGTATTCGTTTTATTTGTACTGGTGGTATGCACAGAATATATAATGTGTACTCAAATTGTTGCGATAATTTAATAGTAGTTTTAAGAGATAAAAATGTATCTTGAGTCGCACCCACACGCTTGCAACTACATCAAAGTGATCTGGATAACCCCAGCAATATGTCAGCAATTAAAGTTGACATTAAAGTATTTTAGATTATACAATAAGACTAAACAACTTACGTTAAAAACTTCCAAAACGTTTTAACTTGCTATAAACAAAGATATACAGGACGAAGTTTAATCCCTGCAAAAATGATACTTAAAATTTCTATGTCTCCATTTCCTCATTTCATTTTTAGTTCTCATTTTATCTTTTATTCTTTCTTCTTTTATGTTTTGGTCTTTATTTATTTTGATGTCATTACTCGTGTATTTATAATATTTTTTGATGTCATTACTCGTGTATTTATAATATTTTTTGATGTCATTACTCGTGTATTTATAATATTTTTTGATGTCATTACTCGTGTATTTATAATATTTTTTGTTCACAAATTATGTTTTCATTTTACTTTCTTTATAATTACTTTCAAGAGTTTATCGTTATCGTAAAATCTCTCTACGTTGATGAACTTGGTAAAATTATTTCATATCACTTCAAATGGCACGATGGTAGGATCACCAGAGCAATAATGCATGCGGCATTTCAAATCTTCCGCGTCTACAAATGTCACTTGTTAATTCCGAATAGCAAATTTTGCCAAAATAATACCTTTATCTTTTGGCTTATTTAACTCCTAAGGTCATATCTTTTATCTTCAAATAATTCCGGATTTCATAATGACATATGTGATCGCGTGCGGAATTAAAGTTTCGATGCCGCTTTCCAAACTTCAGCCTTGGAGGCGTAACCGGAATGGGCCCCAGTTTCTATATGTAGGCCTACTTCGCTTACACTATCTACACTGAAACAGCTCAACAAACTCACAAACAAATCACGTTTTTAAACAGAACATTTTATTTCGAATACTGTACGTATTCAATTACAAAAAAAAAATCATCACAGTTCACTTCCTATTAGGAGACTTGTCTCTTGGAGGAGGTCTCTCTCGTAGGCAATATCACAGTCAAAATGTGTTGTTTTTAGCAACAAAAAAAAAGTATATAATAAACACGTCACAACCACGTTAAATAAGAATTGTCTTAAAGACGAATAAGTTAAGAGAGTATGAATAAAATATTAATAAATACCACACATGTTGGACGAAGACGTGAAATTTTCACAATAAATTACGTCAATTACAATAACTTAAATAAAAAACCGTTGCAATAAATTAAATGGATACACTTATGAATATTATACATTACAGCACTGTATATGAGTAATCTCCTGTCACAAACGCTAGCCTTAACTCCAATGGACCGTAAGGACAACTGACAAAAAATAAATGAATTGCGGAAACATAAAACTTGGCTCACGGAAGCCCATGTTTCCATGCACGGAGAGAGACATAAATTGGGTATGATTTAACAGAGCTTCCGTGCATGTCCACATTTTTGAGAGGCCCGGCCGAGACTCGTCGTACTGCCAAAAGATATTCCGCAGACTTAGTCGGATAAGAGATTCCTATTCGATTGTTGGTTTGAAAACAACACCGTATTTTTTAATAAATACGGAATATTAGAATTGTTTGATATCCCTACACATCGTCAGTTCCCTGATTTTATGAATTCGTCTTTGGAAGGAATTACTCATGCGTTATATTAAGATTTCTAAAACTGTTTCTACATGTACCTCTAACTCTACTACTTCGACTAATACTTTTCTTCTACTTAATCTGCCTCCTATTCTATTTCTTAAAAATAATACTAATAACTTATCATTTAAAATGGCACACGCTCCCATCCAATCGGATGAAAAAGTCCGTCTTGTTCGTCCTCGGAATTTTCCGTCGCCCGTCGTTGTCGTGAGTTTCCATGTGTCTTCTCTTCGTGTGGTACGAATCCCCAGTTCTCCCATCCCTCGGCGTGGAACAAACCGTCCTTCTCGGGCTTGGCTGCCCGCCTCACGCGGATAACGTCGGGGTCGATGGCGGCCAAACGACTCATTATGGCTGATTTCTTTTTAGATTTTAGTCCTTCATCTCCCAGATTCATTCTGGACATTCTGAACCTTTTGCTTGGGATTAAAATCACGTGAGGATCTATGGGGCGAAGACGGGAGAAATATTTAGAAAGAGCACCAGTGCTTCTTTTAAATATTTGAATCACTTCGGGGTCAATATTTGAATCATCGTCTGGGATGTCTCTTTTTCGTAGGACCTGTATTACAGCGGGGTCTATACTGCTGTCCTTGGTAAACTTTGGGGATTCAGTGCTCCTTGTAAACACTTGAATTACCCCAGGGTCAATGCGAGAAGCGCTGTTTGGGCCCGTTTTTCTTTTCACAACCGATACAACGTGAGGATCGGTCACTTCTACAGCGTCACCGTCCACTTCTCTCTTCTCGCGGTTGGCCCGACCGTCGTCGCTGCTAACGCGGTCTCGATTGTAATCGTTGGGTAATAAGTCCTCAGGGAAGAAGTAAAGACCATCCCACGCCGCTCTCTTCATGCGGTATTCCCTGACAATGACACCGCTCTCCTGGTCATCACCTGAGAATAAAAGAAAATGACAAATTTAACCACTTTCAAGTATTTATTTTTAGCATTAAGAGCCGGCTACCAGAAATACAGTCGCGTGTAAGTCTCACTTTAAGTTCAAACAGACGCAGGAGTGACGGCCAAGATGAATAAAATGAAGATTTATTACCGTTGGTGATCTTTTTGTTACATATAGCAAAGATGACTGTTTGGTATATAAATAGAACCTAGCCTTGGATAAGTTGTCTTCTGCTTGATTGTGTACTTTTTTTTTCACTCTTTTCAATTAATTTGTATGGAAATTTAATATTTGAGATCTCAACGAAAACTTTTGCTTTTTTTTAATTTCATAAATGTCGAATATAGCGGACTTCGTTCGTTAAAAAAAGTTCTAAGATTCAACCACTTGGCTTTTATACATAGCTTTTTAACACATTTCATTTGAACTGTTCATAATAAATTTTAAGTTTCTTTCATGTGCTGCTATATTTTGTAATCCTTACAAAGCCCCTGCAATTTGTACTATGACTGAGCTCAATGTTTGTCGTTAGGATAAATACTAAACTATTTACGCTTACAGTTGATATGTTAAGGGTAACAAACGAGAAAAAATTGAATTGAAGACTTCAGTAACACACTAGTCGTTGCAGAATCGAGTGAAAGTAACTTACCTAAAACTTCTCCCAGCGTTAACGTTGGAGCTGCTGTGCAGAGATGAAAACACAGTACAACCAGCACGCTAAGAATGATCCAAGTATCTCCAAAAATCACCATATCTGTAAGGAGACAAATTTACAACTCAGTAAAACAATGAACATAATACACGTACACCAGCCAAGGCGTCAATTCTCTTGCTGCAAGCGAAGCAGAAATGAGCGCGTTTGGCGGAAAAAACACGTTTTATACCGCGAAGTTATTTCACCAAGCGAAGAAAAAAAATACAGATATTTTCCACTTCTCTCCCTGTGTGTTTAAACGAGACCGCATGCTCACCGTTAAGCCCATCCCAGAACGCTAGGAAAATTTGATTGACAGATCCCAAGGTTAAATTCTAGCTGGTCATTTTGGAAAAAAATCAAATCATGTATAGTGACCGATTATTGACTCCGTGATTTGCTCGTTATGGGCCATTACGTGCATTCCTAAAATATTTTATGCGAAGTTTTAATCGCAATTCGGAAATTAAGATAAGTGTAATTGTCCATTTCCTCCACTATGTGTTGTGCTAATGGAGCAGTATGCGGCCTGATGTTTTAGTTCGACTAGAAAATTGTGTTAACTGGAGACATTAGCCCCAGGGTCAGTGTCTTCAGCAACCACTGTAAAACACTAGAAACGTGCGAATGCGACATTTATGTAATCTACGATACAAACGCGCGGTGCTACAACACGTGGCAGTTTGCCCGCTGCTGGAGAGAAGCGGCAAGTTATCTTAAGTCTCAGGGAAAAAAAAGGTCTCACCTTGCCTTATGTTTCTTGATTTTTTCTATCGGGTAATATCTTTCCAAGTTGTTCTCTCAAATTCAGTGCTTTCTTGTTGCTGTCTCGCTCTTGAATATCTTCAAACTAGAAGTCACCTCCAGGAATTAAAACGTGTTCCAAATAGATACCGGCTTAAAGTCGTACCTAAGGTAATACCCTTGTAGGTTCTTAAGATTTAATCTGGCGACTTGAAGAAAGAGGGGAGAATTTTATAGAGCAGCGCCTTGAGTCATGGCGGCTAAATATAGCAACGCTCAGTAGGACACGCGAGGTAAGGCGAGACGCAGTACAACGCGGATGGGGAATCCCTTATTTGACGTAGGCGTGGCCTCCGCCACAGGAGCGTCCGGTACTGTTAATCTGAGTCGCTTCAATCAAATTATCGTCGATCACAGGTTGATTTTTACAGGAAGCCAGTTTTGTGGAGTTCGCCACTTTAACAATAAACGCTCAAGTGTCTGAAACATCAGTCTCTTAAGTATGAGGAAGTATTAGTCTGCGGTGACCTACGTGGGGAGTGGGGAAAACGGGTTATGCATGGTTACATACAAAGTCTTGGGGTATACCACTAAGATTATAGAGAACATTATATTTAATTATCTAATAAAAACCAATTTGTCAGCTGAACCGAAATCTTAATCGGAAGAGGACCGGAGACAATCAACGTAATATATCTCAAAGGGTCCAATTTCATGACGCCCAAGCGTCTAACCGAATATTAGGTCTGCCACGAAAACGCAAAACATTCGCTGGCTGTTCCAAATTTTATGATCATTGCCTGAGACGTCTTGACATGGCACACGTGTGTAGTAGTGTTTAAGAAGAAACGACGGGTATTATTAATTGAGGAGTGTGGCACATTTATTAAAACTGTTCGACTTCATCACCGGCAATAATAAATTATCGCTTTCTGGAAGTCTCGAATTTTGTGATTTTTGGCATTGTGGTTATTGCTTATGATTTCATCACTTCGCCATGATTGAAAGAAACCACGGAACTTTTTTATGTGCGTTATGACGACAATCCGCGTAAAACATTTCATTTTTTCTGACGGTTGTGCAATGCACCTTTTCTGGTTTTAGAAATATATGATTAAGTCGAGATGCAAATTTAAGGCCAATTCACACCATGCTCAGAAAGTTCGATTTCGAATCGATCCTAGTTATTGTACAGCGCGTACGTCTCTTGTGGTCTAACCGACGTGTACATTGGATATTGTACAGACTCTAAGGGATTCACATTAAGCGTTTTTCGCTTCGTGGGAGTCGCCACATCTAGATCACAATAAATACACTGTACTTTAGCTAAGTGAGCTGAAACGAGGCCAACCTAATGTAGATCGATTCGGGTGGAACTATCATAATCTAGTGTGAACGTCATGGTTTTATGTCTCATGTAGGACGTATCAGACGTTGACTGGATCATATGGTTCATACACACATTCAGGAAATATTGTTTTCCTAGCAGACGCATTATAACCCACTAGCCGTAAGATAATGTCCTTTACGTGACAAATTCATTTCAAAAACTGGACACGCGCGTGTTTAATTTTATCCCAGGTTATTACAATAAAGCTAACAGGCGGGCTCTGCCGCGCCCAGTGCTTCCTCTGCCAGAATTGAGTTTAAGACCTAAAACCTGTCAAAGAACAAGTTAAACCCGAGACTTGTAGGCCTACATGTCTTTTGCTTTTTACACTGTTTATTCTGTTTCCTTGATGTACGTAAGTTTCCTTTGCATCTCAAATTGTTAATTTCTAAGATCGACTCTAATAAAGGTCTTTTTTTTCTAAAATCACTTTTTTCTACTTAATGATGTGCAAAAGACATACCAATACAAATACAAATAAGTGCATTATCGATTTGAACTGAGGTTGTACTTTCGATTTCAAATTAATTTTCATTTTTGTTTGCGTACATCAAACAAGAAAAAACAACCAAACTGTATTGGCGACGGGAAATGAGTCCTTCATCTACTCAGCTCAAAAAGGTACATTTGTAAAGGAATACACACTACTTTTCTAAACTATAATGGCCAGAAGGTAAATTTCGGCAATATGACTAGAGTGCGTTGCGAGTGACTACACAAGGCATTAGTGTGTCGGCAATAAGGTCTCAAGTACCTTATCACGCTTATTGATTGTGCCAGCACTTTTTATAATGTGAGTGTCCGTGTGTGTGTGTGTGTGTGTGTGTGTGTGTGTGGAGAGAGAGAGAGAGAGAGAGAGAGAGAGAGAGACGAACGTCTAAATTGAATTCCACGTCATTTTTTTTCAGCAGGATCGTTTTCATCCCAAATTAAAAGTACAGAGAAAAACCCAGACAGACTTTGGGCATGTACGCTTCCTCTAATTTTCTGTCTGCTGTAATTTGCTTTGATTAAACCAACGAATCCGTATCCTAAAACAAGCATACAGACATTCATTTCCTTTATCATCATCATTCTGATTTTTATTCGTAATATCACAATGTCTATATCCTGAAGACTGTGTTGCGTCATTGCTGACAGCTTCAAGATGGAAGCCACGGATACGTGTAACATTCACTTGACGTATACAGGGTATAGGTTTCGAGCCAAAGTTTACTTGTATATTTTGGAAATTCTTCAATAAAAAGGGGTGAATGCTCATAGTAATTTTGAGCTTGTGTTTCTCTGGTTTCTAAAATCTGAGAAAGACGTGGAAGCGTTCTCATGTTGGTGGCTTTTCATGTGCCCCATGTAACATCATTTTTACAACCCCACCCCTTGTGGCAGTAAGTTTTTTGTTACGTGAGATAAAAAAAGAGAAACTGCTCAGAGTTAAGCCACGGTGCTGCGTGTAAAAGAGTTGCACTTTTACAAACTGCGACTTCGCGTTCAGTTAAAGATGTTATGTACAAATTCTTTCACACATCTCACACATCTCCATTATAAAGAAGAATGCTTTTTAATATAATTCTGCAAGCGCAATTAACCAAAACGCAAACCCAGTGAGGATTACTAATTTTAACTATCTGTCATCCATGTTACGGTCCTTCTCCAAGTTGTCATTCTGGAAAACATAGTTCTGGCACTTAATCAAAGCTAATTTTTCCCCTATAATCAAATCCGAATTATTTCAATTAATAGTATGTTTTATGCAGAAAGTAATACAAATGGAAACCTCGAACATTAGGCCTATACACCGTACATATTGCTTCGCAGCAAATTTAAGTAATACTCGGCACGTATTGAGGGAATATAGCAACCAAGATAGATGGGGTGTTTTTGCTTTGTTTTTCCTTTTTGGCTTTCAATCAATGATGTAATAATTAATAATGTAGTTAATAATGAAACAGGAACTACAGAAAGTTTTCCTAAACAAATCTTTTCCATCGTTAAGACCACGTTCCCAGGAGGCTTTTATACCATTAACGTAAAATGTCTATTCAATTTTCTCTAAACAAAATTGAATATTTTGTGCATATCAGTTATCGCTGTAGTATACCTTTTGATGTGAGATTAAATTATATATGCATTAAATGTGAAAAGGTGAAAGTCTCTGCCATACGTTTCGAAAAAGACGCCCTACGCGTGGCACAGTGTATATGCGAGTTCATCCGATGGAAACCTCGAACATCATACGCTGTGTGTGGGGTGCTAGGTAAATGTAGTAGAAAAATAACAGTACCACATTGTCTCACAAAAAATAAAAACAGGTAGTTGTCTGTGGAGGTTTGCAGTTATTATACAGGGCCGTAGCCTGAGCAAACTGCCAAGGGGGGGGGGGGGTGCAGTAAGCGGAAACGANTTCTGGTGCATTTTAACATGAGTGCATTTTCTCACAGAATTGATACCAACTTTGCAATTATTTTTTTTACCTTTGCGATTATTTTTTTTTGCACCTCAAATCCCAGGGGGGCAGCTGCCCCCCTGCCCCCCCGGAGGCTACGGCCCTGTTATAGTAAAAACTGGTGACGGGTCAGTCAGTTACTGTCGAAGTTGAATAGAAAACCCCATCTGGCAAGTTAAAAAGTGACCTTTGTCCTTTTTTACAGCGATTTTTTTCCATTCCATGAGCGGTGTTAAACGATTTTGCTACAAAGGTAAAAAAATAAGACCGAAAATGATTTGTGAAACCAGCTTTTAACTCAACTCAGACACTGTACTCATCCAACTGACGGAAGTTGCAATAAATAAAGTTCATTTTTGTTACCATCATTATCATGTATGCTGCATCCTTTGTACGAAAATCCTATAATCTACCCTGTTCAAAATTTCCATTTTTGCATTTATTGATTTTTTAAATTTAATTAATTAATTAATTAATTTTACTTATTGCCACGATTTTTCAAGTATCCTTTTCAAAGGATAATAAAATAGGTACGCATTTACCAGGTTATTTCCACGATCTGTATTTGAGCAATTTATGATGACGCATCTTGGGTGGACTTTGAATTTTAAAAAAGGCAATGTCTCACAGGAACGTTAAGGAAATTGATCTCTTTTTTCTTTATTTTTTAAGTTATAAAAGAAAAAAATATCTGTTTCCAATTATTAAATGAATAAAAATGAATAATAAGAAAAGCGTGAGGATTTAAGGATACAGACAGTATAAAAAGTCAAATTTAAAAGCAACAAAGACATTGAGGGAGTAGGTCTAGATACATTAGGCTACTCATAAAAATCACAGCAATCGCGCGTACAGTTTTGTGCTGCAGATTTTATGGTTAGAGCCCGTTTAGGAGTGAAAATATTTTTCTTAAGGGCGTATTTTGGGGTTGCATGCCATATCGACCCACCCCGATCTGCTAATATATTGGTTATTCACTCAAAAAACTTGATCCTTGCATTGGCGGAACACAAAAACTAACCATTTCAGAGAAAAGTTTTTTCTTCATATATTGTCAGTGAAAGATAAATGTGTATATTTCGTATAGTTTCGCTCTTTTGAACGCATATGAAACGAGATAACACGCAGGCCGAGCGTTTCACCGTCCACCACGTCCAGCGAGAGCGTAACCACCCTACGGCAGTTATTTCATTTTTAACACGTCCGCCTATCTGAGTCATCTTCCGGTATACGAGCTCTCCTTTATTTGGAGTACGAAAGGATATCCGTTACAATAACAGCATGGAAGCTGAGGTAAGAATTTTGTTTTGTTAAGAAAATCTGATTTATTGATCTCCGGCGCAGTCGATCGGACCTGTTATGCCTTTTTGTTCTCAGCATTG